ACACTGCCACACCACCCTGCGGCTAATTGCCACAATGCCTAATTTGGTGTGAATGCAGCCAAACAGCTCACTGGTTTTGCTCCTTCCCATTCCATTACTTTCTGCAATATATAAAACTGATCTGCTGTCAGAAGATGTCTTGTCTTGTTTGTAAAAACATTTTTAATGAACAGGAGTGGTCAGTGCTGACCTCAGTGACAAATACAATGCATTTTCAATGAATGCTTCACAATAAAGGTCACCCAGTTTTTTTTGCCACTTGAGCACTTAATATAAATTATCAGCAGTAGGAAGTGGTCAATTAGCTTTAGTTGTAATTGATGGCTCTGATACGTCTGATATGCACTGTGATAAAAAATTACCATCAGTACTGCTGGATTACACGCTGCATTGTGTCCTGTGGAACCTGTACACTTGTGAAGGCAATTTAAAGCCAGGGCAGTTATGGCGGTCCCTGCCACTACCAATGAAAGCATAGAAAAAGGTCATAATAAAATGTAAATACATTGAATGGCAATCGTTATAGCTATATTGCAAAAGTGCTGACCATAAATACTATTAAAGTTTGAGCTTTTTCAGAAAAGTTTGATTTAAATTTTCTCACTAGGTAAACTTTGATTTTAACTTTAATGTCAATCACTGAAGGCCTGTGTCTGTCATGATAAAGGATGGTGGACTTTGTAAACACCAGGGACAACAATGTCATTAAGGACTTCATGGTTCTATTTTGAATAAAGTCTAATATTTTCTTTTGGATAAATATATTAGAAGCCAAAGATGAATTACATAAGCCCCTTTAAATGCTTTCTCAATAGCACTTTGTGTGTGTATTTTGTCCTCTAGCTCTGTAACTATCTTGCTACAGCACTAGCTTTGAGGCTAATACATTTACAACTTCTTCACCGGTGTTTCTTCAAGATAATATGTCCATTGTTTGCATTTCCATTCAGCAAATTTGTTCTGCTTTTTATTGTTTTCCATTATACTAACTCAGTTTGTTAATTAACACCAAATTTGCTTAAAGAATTACGTTTCCAGAAGTGCATGCAAAAGCTAAAGGGCTTCTTGACTTTGTGATTATGACTCCAAGAGCTATTCACTGTGACTCATTATGTTAATTAAGCAAGAATTACCCAAAGAAATAGTTAGAATCATATTACCCACAGTTCAGACTAATTCCCCAGAAAGAAGATTTTCAGTATTGTATTAGAGAGACCACCCTAGGAGGAACGAGCGATATGTTGCAGCCAGGGGAAAAGACTCGTGTTTAGATAAGAAGTGGAAGTCACTGAGCTTCTTCACAGCCATCTGCCTCTGCCTTGCTTATTATGATGATAGACTAACCATCCTCTCACTGCTGTTTCACCATCCCCCCTTTTTGTATTACCCAAGTAAATATGCAGCACTTCATGATATCAAGTCCAATTTGTCTCAGTTTGGAGGAAATTAATAACGATGTGGCGAAAGTAACCCTTTTCTCACTTTAAAAGAAGCTTGAATGATATTTGAGATGTGCAATTAGACATAAGGAGCAATCAGCACTTGTAAAAGACCATCTGTGTCTTTGATCTCTCTAAATTTCATCTTTTAAGTATGTTTCTCACATGTTTCTTCTCTAATGCTTGTGTGCTCTCAAAACCAATATTTTTTACTCATAATAAATAGAATTATATATACATACAGACAGTTTTTTTGTATGTCTGCAGGCAAAACTTGGGTTTTGGAGTGCAGCCAAGTCACTTTGGACTGCTTCATTTCATTGGGAGCATTAAATTTGGCTCTGTCTGCCCCTGTTGTCTGTCACGCACTGAAGTCTGGTCTCAGAGGAAGCTGTAGAGTGCATTGCAACTCCCCTGTCACTGTCGGCTGAGCAGAGGGGTAACTTTTAATCAGATTGTCAAGGTGACCCAGCAGCCACTGCCAGCGCCAGAACTTAAAGACCCCGCCCAGCAACAACTTCACATTTAACCTCAACACTCAGACGTATTTCTCAAATTGCTGTTGGCTGCTTTGAACAAGTCAGAGGCTGCTGTCAGATGATGCTGCCCTCAACTCGAAACAAAGCAACTGTATCAGCAAAGACAGGCTTAAGTGTAGATGAGAGGAAATGATTAAAGGGGAACAAGCCAGGCATGTTTCAAAGGCATCGATTTTCACAGACTTTGTTTGCTATAGACTGGTGCACACAGAAACACTTACTAAACACTCTGTTCAACTTGCGTTTGATATCAGAGCTCTTTTCACATCACTTAGCAGCAACCTTCTTTTTATTAAAGAGCAGCAGTGAAGCTGTAGATACAAAGCTCCGATTGACAGCAAGGATGTCATTTATTTTTCGTGTGACAAGCCGCTCTGTGCTTCAAACATCAATCTCTGAGGCATCTTTCCAATAATGGCTTTGAATTGAAGGAAAATGAAATCCCAAAATGACAGATTAAGGATGGCAAGCTAAGCAATTGGTTATGATGTGCAATAACACAAAAGCCTAGAGCCTCTTTCTTTTTCATGGCTTCTTCCTTTCTGAACAGAATGTTTTTAAGCCACATGACCACACAGAAGACATACAGAAGTGGGATTTTTTTATTTTCTCAGCTTAAAATTCTGAATCATTTGAATTTAAACCATTGTCTTGGTGAATAATCGATTCTGATTGGCTGCAGGGTGTCCATTAATTCCTGATAATGGACACCTACTAAGCAGTTCAATATCATTTTGTAAAACTCTTGATACTGATTTGGGTGCAGTGACACAGCAGATAGCTCTATGAGCTGTACAAAATAAGGGACAAAGCTACTGTGATGTCACCCACTGGTTTGTGGACTCCATTTTAAAGCCTCAAGGTGGGCATTTTGGCCATCACCATCTTGGTTTTTGAAACCAGGAGACAGCCTGTCACTCGAGCGGCCCAATCCTGAAATATGCGGAACTTAAGATCTTAATAGAATTTAAATGGGTGAGGTATTTTTTTTAAAAAAAGATAGCTCATTAGTCAGACCCTCAGGTGTTGTCGGGGAGTTATGGCTCGTAAAAAACTTTATACTTTGATTGGAAAATGCATGTCAATATAAATTAATTTCTTTCTTTGGCAAGTAACCATGTACTAAGCGGGATAATGCCCAATGAGGTGTTCATTATCAGGAAATAACAGCCTCCTCATCGTCCATTAATACCTGATAATGGACACCTCATCGGGCATTATCCCTTACATATTATATACAGCTATAAAATTCCATCCCAAAATAAAAAGCCTGCTCTTTGTAGTTCATGCAGTTATAAGTCTCAGACCTGGTCAGACTCTGGCTGTGAAGATAAATGCTGCTCATTTTGATTCTGTCATAAGAGCAAATCAGTTTCCCACTGCACCAGTGGACAACTGGGTTGCAAGGTGTCTGCTCTGCACTACATTCATTACAAACCTTTTACAGGTGCCAGGTTAATACAGACTATCTATTCATTTTACATATAGATTCCAGTAGCAGCTCCTTACATCTCCACACAAACAGGCTGCTTAACATTTAAGATTCAAGATTGTGTCATGTTAAGAGGTTTGTTTTTCATTTTCATGACTATTAACACTCCATTCAATAAAAGGATTCAATAAAGCTAATGAATGACATGCATGTTTTAAGCGTAACGACACTTATGGTTATTGATCTTCTGAACAAACTTTAGAAAATCAATAGCACCATTATCGGCTACTGTACATGCCCACACATCTCCAGCGCGCCCACATTTCCTCTCCCTTCTTCCTCTGTGAGCCTTTTAAAGAATGAGTCATTATTCTCTCATTTTCTGCCTGCCTTCGGGTCTCATCCTCGTCTGCCATGAATTATAGATGGCAAGCCTGAATTGACTGGCCGAAAAAAAAAGCGTAATTAGCTTCTGGAAGTAGTTTTGGATTTTTATTTTAAAAAATCATTTGGAATGCAGGGTGTGTTTGGGATCCATCAGACTGGAAAAACACATTAGGATGAAAGGATGAAAGGAGACTGTTGTCTCTTTGTTATCTGTCACTGTGATGCCGTTGTGTTAACAGTCATTTTGTTAGTATTGATTGTCATCTCTCGCGCTGTGTCTGCTGCACAACACTCATTCATTCTGCCTTCTAGATTTAAATTGAACTCTTAAGGATGTTTGATCAGATTCGTCATGCAAACTAAGTGTGGAGTCTCACTGAGACACTGAGAGGACTCTGTGTCCATACTGTACATGTGTATGTGAGCTGTCATAGCTGCGATGCTGCACGGCTGTCATTTTATGTGTGTGTGTGTGTGTGTGTGTGTGAGAAAGGGAGAGAACAATGAAAGGGAAGAAGAGCTAATATATTATTATTGAAGTTGATTTATTGTGTCTGATAGCTGCGAATGGCTCTGCAGATTAGAGAAACATACTGCATGAGTTTTCAGAGTTGTAATTTTGTTGTAATTAACCGAGTGTGTGTGGAAGTGATCGCTGTTCGATCCGTACGCTCCTCATTTAGGGGGCTCTGGGTGTCTGTCAGCCCTCAACAACAGCAAAATAATGGCAGTGCCAATGAAGGTCCTTTTATTCCTCCACACACTCAGAGTTAATGAGAAGCTTAACGATTAATGAGCCAATGCCTATTTTTTTTTCTCCCAAAAAAGAACTCACATACCCACAAGTCAGTGGGGCCCTAAAATGGAACACAGCTGTTTGAAGAGACAAATTGGGCAATTACAAATGATCTACAAGTCTGCTAGCCTCGCTGGTGAGAGAATTATACACATACTTGATTCCAGTTTTTTTTTTTTCCTGCAATTCTTCAGTGACATTAAGAAGTTTTAATAAGAGTGAGAAGATAAAGATGGCAGATGGAGTGCAGGCAGAATGCTTGTTAGTAAAGCACAGAGCACTGCAGTGTAAGGTCAGAAGAAACTGCTCCTGTTTAAATGGCCACCACTGTTACTACAACTGCTACATTTACTACGTAAAGTTGAACAATGAGCTCATCAGCCTCTTCTCTCCCCTCTCCTCTGTAGTTGGGACGACAGCAGCTCGGTGAGCAGCGGCCTGAGCGACACATTGGACAACATCAGCACTGATGATCTGAACACACCCGCCTACTCTGCTGTCAGCTCATCACGCAAAAGCAAGGGAGCCCAGGTAAGGACATGTATTAACTATTTAGTATTGTATTAAGTTTAGTGTTCCCATGACTTTGCCTCTAGCGCCATCATCAGGTCAAAAATGTAATTTCTCACATACTTTGGTGCTAATTAGCAAACGTTAGCATGCTAAACATGTAAAACTAAGATATGTTCAGTATGCGTAATGTTTACAATGCGCACGCATTGTAAACATTATTCATACTGAACATACGCATGTTAGTATTGTCACTATGAGCATGTTACCGTGTTAGCATTAAGCTCAAACCACCACTGTGTCTAAATACAGCCACCTTTTAAAGGTGTCTTGAAAAAGGTGGTTGCTAACGAATGGCTAAATGAGTTCATTTGCGAATATTATCTTGCTGAAGAAAATGTGCAAGTTTCATAAACTTTTGCATGCTGCAGAGCTTATTTTCTGCAGTAATTCGAAATCAAACCGAAAAATCCAAACAAAGGGAACCAGGACGACGCTAACTTCCCTGTCGGCCCACAGAAAAAATGTCATCCCTGGAGCACTCTATACAGTAGCTTATAGGTGGAGTTGATCGCCACTAGTAGTGTAGTGATTTCCGTTTAAGCCAGTTTTCAGTTTAAGTTTCATTTCACTGAAAGGGACATTCCACTGAATTTACACATGAAATTCGGTTTGCTTGTTATGAAAAGCTCTACCCAGCCTGTGAAAACCATTGTATAATGTCTTCTTTGGCTCAAAAGGAAGCGCTCCAAAGTTTAAAAAAATGATTCTGATGATGTCATCAGGGTAATTTCAGTTTAGGCTTGAGCCTCATATGACATTCAGAGTGTATCTATGATACAGAGTCTAATTAAGGCTTACTGCACACAGTTCTCAAGGAGATGGTTAAGTAAGTGCACAGTAGCTATGGTGCTAACTGCGCTAACAACAGCAACAGTGCTGACAGAGCTAATGGTGTTAATCTTGTATGGGAACCAGAGGATGGGTGCTACATTTGTGCACTGCGACTGTCCCGATATCAGCAGTACCACCTTATGAGAGCAGTGTAGAGCGGTTGTGATTATCTAGCTAGCGCAGGTACTTACAAGCACTAACATGCATGTGCAGCTGAACCATCAACGGAAACACACATCAGAGGAGCTTAACTTTTTCTCTGCTCAGGGCGCCATAACTCTGCTTTATCTTTTCATAGCAAATAGTGATTTGCTGCTACGTATATTAATACTCTGAATGTCGAATACAGGACCTTTAAACGAAAGCTTGTGTTATAAACTGAGGGTGTAGAGTTTAAAAGAAGTGGGCTTATTGGCAGGAAGATTTTATTTTAAAGATGGTATTGAGTTGGATCATGGGAACTGTAGGTAGTGTGTTTGTAGCTTGACCCATACCGGGGGAGTAACATCAGGACATCTTGGCAGATTTTGATCATTCTTTTTTTAATCTGTCTCTTGTGAGTCCCTCAACTTTATGAAAGTGTGATACTAAATCACTGGAGTACAGCTTTAACACAGAACATGAGAGGGAAAGTTTACAAAGCATTTACAGAAACTGATAGCAAATAAGCTCTAAAAGATGGAAGACAAGCCTCATTTTGTGCTAAAAACTAAATCTCCAGATCAAACCAAACTTCTTCATCAAATGTGGAGATACAAGCATGTTGGTTGAGTATGAAACCAAGACCAGTCTATGTGTGAGCTCTGAAATCACAGCTGAGGGAATTAGTTGCAAACTGAAGGCCACTGCTCAGCTCTCCTCACAGGCTTTTGCTATATTCTGCCAAGTATCTTTGGCCCCTCATGAAATACTCAACAGACTGGGCTCTTAAGAGACTCTGGTGTTGCTAGGGAGACTGGCCATCTGTCAAGGTAGGCTAGCTATCACTGCTGTGTGTGTGTGTGTGTGTGTGTGTGTGTGTGTGTGTGTGTGTGCTTGCATGTGTCCCAAAAGAGGAGATCTGAACATGGGTGATTCCAAAGATAGCTACAACTTCACACACAGACACACACCCCGCTGCTCTGTTTGTGCAGGGACTTATATCTCTTTGTGGTGGCTGTATGTTTTTATATAACGCTTCTTAAAGGATCATACCTTGGATTTATGTTTTAGATTTTAAATTACAAATTAGCCAAGACTTGATTGCTACCAAGTATGCAAAGAAAATGACTTAAAGACACTTAAATTGCACTTTCATGACATGGTACTTTAGTGGTGAGCAGGTATCCCCCCACTGGTGCGTTTAAGGACACTACAACATTTAAGATTTTAGTTACCGCAGTTTCTTTACTTAACTGAACCATGTATTTACATTTTCATGTGCTTTCTTTCACACCCACCATTCTTCAGTCCCAGAAAGGAGGCAGGTCCAAGCATGCAGAGCAGGAGGTGAGCAGCAGCTGGGCCGGAGCCGAGGACCTGAAGAAGGTGGAGGAGGAGCTGGACGCAAGCATGGACCCCAGCAGCGGCTCCTCCCGGTGGAAGCCTTCCTCATCCTCCTCTTCCTCTCAAGCCCAGGGCTCGTACGAGGATGCCGGTCAGAAGGCCACTGCGCTGGCCCAGATGTCCCAGACGGGTTCGTGGAGGAGGGGCATGACGGCCCAGGTGGGCATCACGCCACCCAGGACCAAGGGTACCTCTGCTGCCCACAAAACACCAGGTAGGAGATGTTTTTTTTAACCTAGAATTTAGAGGTAGAAATGAAGTACGCCCTTTCCCACAAGACAAAAAACACAAACACCCACTAACGTCTCTGTCAAACCAATGCCCAAACATCGTTCAAAATTTAGTCTGCACCAAGTTTCAATAATAATAACTCAGTTTGAGAGACTGAATTAGTAAGAGATATAAGAAAGAAGAGACCAAGTAACATTTTCACTGGGCTTAATGCTGCTCTCTACTGTTTACTAACCTGTTTCCAGCCTCTCTGTGATGTCAAATGTGTCAGACCAGAAAATTACAAAAAAAAATCAGTTAAGGAAAGAACAGTAGAGGAAATGGTGAAAGAAATATGCAAAAAAAAAAAAAAACATATTTGCATATGATGGTGCAGGTACCGAGACAAAAAACCGAAAGGCAACAAGGTACCAAAACAAAAAATGTGTCTGTCATTGTACAGGACCCTTGATATATAAAATATTACGCTAGGCAGGAAACTAAGATAATCTGTTCCAGCTGTGTTGTTTTTTATTCAGATTCGAGCGTTTCAAAGTGAATTAGTGATAAAACAACATCTCAAAAGGTCCAGTTTTCTTTTCAGTCAACAATGGTGATAAATGATGAAGCTTTGATGTACAAACATATACATGTTTCATCTGAAAAAGGATAAGTTGCAATGCCTTTGAGCTTGTTTTTCTTTTAGATAAAAAGACTCTTTAAAGTTAGTTTATTTATTATATTCCATTAACAAGTGTGCAGTCATTAATATGTATGTTTTATGTATTTGAAATGAACTGAAACTATTTCAAAACAGTACACCAGTGTGTATTTGACTAACTTTGTTAACAATGCCTAAACTTTGTGAACCCAACTTAAACTTATGGAGAGAAATATAAACCATCTAGACACTAACAGATGCATTTCCTAAGCAAATTATATTTTGGGCTATTTTTTTATCTATGCAGTAAGACCTTTCACAGTTCTAATTTATCAAGACTTTGTAATGGTCCTCTTTTACAGCAGACATTTAATTCTTAATACTAGGAAAAGCCCAGTGTCTGAGTAATTATTGACAGTGAGTCAGCATGAACAACACCAGGACCCTGAAACTGAAGCAGCTAAACAGAATTCAATCCTCATTTATTTCATTACTTAAACCTGTGCTTTTCCCTCCTGTGATATGTCAGAATGTTTTAGTGAAAAAATGACTGTAATGTGCTTCACTTTTATACTAAATTTTAAAAGTTTTATTTTTTGGAATGGAGAGTTAGTGGTTGCAGCAAATTTTCTTGCCTCTGCCTAAAAACGATTTGATGATTTTTTATTTTTTCTCCACTGATACCTGTGCCTGGAGACTGTGCAGCCGCTCTTATATTTTCAGCCCACTCAGCAAGTTTAGCAGCTTTGTTGCAGATAAGTATTGCTTTCCGATGCAGCTGAGCTGTGATAAACAGACTTCTGGCTGTTGGCCAAAATGTACACATATTTGTCTTTTCCTGCATTGTGGCACCACAGGTGATAAAAGCAAGTGCTGGGCCAAGAATCTGCTGAGGATAATGTTTTTGTATTTGTGCTAATAAGTGTTTATGCAAATTGACAGGCAAAACTGATGATGCCAAGGCCTCCGAGAAGGGCAAGGCGCCTTCCAAGAGTTCAGCTGCCATCCAGCGCTCCCCCTCAGATGCTGGGAAGAGTAGTGGAGATGAAGGTAAGAAACCTCCCTCCGGCATTGGACGCCCACCCACCACTGCTTCTTTTGGATACAAGAAGATCCCGGGTCCCAGTGGTACCCTAATCACCTCCAGTGGTGCAACGCTCGCCAGCGGCTCAGCCACCCTGGGCAAGGCACCCAAATCCTCAGCTGCCCTCAGCAAAGGCACAGGCATCAGCGGTGTGCGTAAGACCAGCCTGGATGGCTCACAGCCCCAGGATGACGGCATCCTACTCAGCTGCAGTGGCTCCAAAGTAACCCTGCAGTACCGCTCCCTACCCAGACCCGCTAAATCCTCCAGTGGGGTGGCAGCAGGGCGCAGTGGGCATCGCTCCAGCTCCAGCAGCATCGACTCAAATGTCAGTGGCAAGTCAGCTGGAGGGGCAGCAACGCAAGCGGGTGCCAAACGCAGGGATGGAAAAGTTGGCTCAGACCGTTCCAGTCCCATCACCATCAACCAGACAGACAAGGAGAAAGTGGCAGTGTCAGACCAGGACACCACCGCAGGACTGTCCACCTCCCCCAAGTCCAGCCCCACCTCCAGTTCAGCAGGCCAGTCCGGCCTCAGGCAGCCGGGCTCCAAGTACCCTGATATTGCTTCTCCCACGTTCCGCAGGTCAGACACACAAAACACACCTACAGCCTCTGTTCTCTCTTTGTCCCTCGCCATGTGTGTTTCTACGTGAATCAAGCATCTCATCACATGCTGTACTTTTTCAGTCCCTCGATTATTAGCAATAGGGGGTGTTCTCTTTAGTACAGCAAGTACGTCTTCAGCTGGAAGTTTAGGTCTTACTAAGATTAGATTCCAATGATTCTGATTTAATCTATTTCAGAATTTAAGGTTGTTTTCATTCATTATGATGGACTCATGTGGTGCTCAGCAATATTTCTCTTATGCAGACTGTCACCCAGACTCCTGTAACAGAGAGGGGCATTTATCGAAGACGTCATGCATAGCAGTAAAGTCTCACCATGGCTAAATAAAACACTCTGTCATCTCTAGCAAATTTAGATATGTTTGGATGCACCAAATAAATATGACACTTAATAAATCATATTTCAGCGCCTTCGTAGAAAGATTGATTGAGCGAGTTTACTGGGCTGCACAGCCACAGGGTGCCATTACATAGATTGTTCCCTGGTGTAGGTGATAAGCTGCTGCAGATGAAACATATCTTTGCCCTGAAGATGAAGGGGTGATGGCTTTTGATTTGGGCCAGGCAAATCCAGCTCAGCAGTTTGATCAGAACAGACAGGCGACAGGAGTTTCTCGGCACGCCAGTCCCTGAATCATTAGAGGCATGCGTTCTGCAGGCGTGTCCAAACATCCGTCCCATCCGATCTGTCAAGCCCACCCGTTTCATCTGCATGTCTTCAAGCTTCTTTTTTTTTCTCTCAAGTGAGTGTCACCTATATATTTCATGTGATTGCGATGACAGGCTGGGACAGGCGCAATATGAGTAGCAGGCTGTCTGAGCATATGTGGGAGGCGAACAGAGTAAAGTGGCCTAACAGATTAGGTTCTTTAAAGTCACAGGGTTGAAACGGGCAAAGCTGTGAAAGCAGATGTGTCACCGTAAATTACTGAGAGTTCGCAGCTGAAATGAGTTGAAGTTTGCTACGAGGGATAAATGAGTTGAAAAGTGTGCTCAGTATTTTATCTGTAGTTTAAAATTGGTGTTACAATAAAGATGTGGGAATGTTTAAGCAGCTGTTACTGTCACTCCACTGCACTGATCCTTGAGTTTCTTGATGCGTGTGACCAATGCAGTAATACAATTTGAAATGTATTATACATTAGATAACCTCAATGATATCCACTTTCTCAAACCCAAAGTATACCAGAGTTCTTCATTTTCCAGTATGGATCTTGCAGATGCTCATCACTTGTTCTTTGAGCATTTCTAAATGACTGCACCCACCTCTCTACCCTCAGATTGTTTGGCACCAAAGCCAGCAGCAAGGCCAGCTCTCCGGGCACTCCCGACTCTGGCAAGTGCCCGTCAATACTGGGCAGCCCCCACGGCACGCTGGCGAGGCAGGCCAGTCTGGACTCGCCCTCCTCTGGCACAGGGAGCCTGGGCAGCGCTGGCGGCCTGAGCGGTGGCAGCAGCCCACTGTACGGTAAAACCCCAGACCTGTGCACCGACTCCCCGGCCTCCAGCCCGGCCTCTGGCCTCTCCCTGCCTTCCAACGCTCGGCCCTGGCCTGCCTGTAGCTCGTCAGCTGGCAGCAAGGACACACTGAGCTGCCAAAGCATGACCAGTCTGCACACCAGCTCTGAGTCCATTGATCTGCCACTGGGCCACCACGGGCCCAAGGTTACACGAACCGGCAGTGTCAAGTCCACCCTGTCTGAGGGGTGAGTAACAGGGAATACGATTGGGCTGAATCGTATTCATTGTTTCATTTGAGAACAGAGACAAAAAGTATATCTCCCTACCCTATATAGACATACAACGCAAAGGAAGCCTAAGTAATATGGTAATAATAATAATAATAATAATAATAATTTTAAAAAGAAATTCACCCATCCAGCACGCACTTTGTTTGGATTTACATTTCTTTTTCTGGCATGGTGTTGGTATTATCATTATTTCTAGAGTCCTACCCTTTTACCATTCACTACCACAACTGACCTGCCAACTTGTCCACATGCAGTCTGCTGCATTGACCCGATAAAAGTCTTACTGTTTCTGGGATCATCATTAAAGCCATTTAACACAGTCAAGTATTAGTTGTGGGTCCAAAGCCATGCTAGAAAAAGTGCCACAATAAAGTCAAAGCATTTCAGATGTTCATTCCCATGAGAAGTCTCTATCAGGGTGTTTCCATTGTTTTGTCCACATACTGTGCATGCAGTACATCACATATCAAAGAATAAACAGGATTCAAATTTATTTTCCCTTAGTAGTTTAGCTGTATGTCTCAGAAATGAAACAATTGATTAATATTTAAATCGGCGTGTGTTTTATATTTGTTGTCTGTACTGTGATGCATTAGTAATGTTTTTGTTTTCTCCATTGTGTGTCTTTGTGTATGTGTGTGTTAAAAGTCAAGTTTGTAACATGTGGCCAAAGTCTTTTTCTCATGTAGCATAAAAACAAATGTGTTCTGGTGTTCATCTAATTCACTCATCCTTTGTGTTTTAACAGCATGCCTCTTGACAGAAACACGCTTCCCAAAAAGGGACTGAGGTACAACACATCTGCAGTCAGATCCCATTCTCAACTTCTCTTCTTTTATTCACTCACGTAGATCATTAGCATACACGTGCATGCAAATAATCATTTTAATATCAAGTGTACTTTTCATGTTGTTGTATGTGTGGCATCATCTATAGCAGTGATTCCCAACCAGAGTTACCCTTATCCCAAGGGATATTTCTGCAAGTGCTTGAGGATATGTGGAAATACTGTGAAGTAGCTCAACTAATTTGAAAAAGAAAATGAAATTGCATTTAAAAAAAAACACATATCCTCATGTTGAATAAGCTACAATACCTAGATATAAATATTTAGCAAGCAAGCAAAGATGTTTAAACTGCCAAAAGTGATGGATAAATGGTTGAAGTCGAAAGCTAACATTAGGCACAGTTAAAATATTTAGCTTCAAGTAATAGATAAACAGTTAAAATAGATGCCTTCCAGTAATGGATGAACATTTAAAATCGTTATCTCAAAATAACAGCTGAACAGTTAAAAAAAGCTTGAAGTAGTGGATAAACATTCAAAATAGTCACCTTAAGGTAATGGTAAATAGTTAAAGGCTTTAAGTAATGGATAAACATTTAAAATAGTTATCTTAAAATAATGGATAAACACTTAAATAGTTAGCTTAAAGTAATGGATAAACATTTAAAATAGTTAATTTATAGTAATGGATTGACAGTTTAAAACAATTATCTTACAATAACAGATAAACACTGAAATATTTAGCTTAAAGTAATGGATGAACATTTAAAATAGTTAAAGTAATGAATGAACAGTTAAAATAGTTTAAAGCAATGAATAAACAGTTAAAATAGTTAGCTCCAACTATCTCCGTCCATCCATCCGTCCGCCACTGGGTGCAGTCTCCTGGCATAATTAAGGCTCAGTTTACGGCACAAAGGAAGTGCATCAACCACATGGATGTATAAAGAGAACTGAATACAGCTTTAGAGTTGTAGGCAGGGACATCTGTCCCACAATCACACTAGAGATTTTGTCAGCTGAGTGGCCAACTTCCAGGTGAGCCGTCTGCTTACTTGAATGGGGATGAAATGTTTTAATCATGCGTCTCTTCTAGACTTTAGAAACATTATTGGACCCAACTGATCGAATTCAGATAGTAAAACAAGTAATTTTGTTTGGATTGTGATGCTCAAAATATGGAATCACTGATTTACAAACCTCTGTTTACCTAAGTAAGTCTATGGGTAAAACTCTTTTTGGGCCCAATGGCATCAAATGACAGACCAGAAGTTGTAGTTACACAGTTTGGCCACTATGTCAAATTGGCCTCAAAGCCCAGCACACTTCCTGGGGACCTGGTCAACCATTGTACAACCAAAACACGAAGACGGTAGTGCTTTTTTTTTTCACAGTAGCTATCCCTCAGTTACAAAACAGTATCAATATAAGTTGTTTGCAATTCCTATTCCCAGTGACAAAAATGGCAGACTGCGGAAAAACCAAAGGGACTGTAGAAACTGTGGTAGTTGCTATAGGCTCTGAGGAAAACAGACATCGATCCAGCGCAAAACAAAATATAATACCCCTGGATAACCAGTTGAAATAGTAATCTTCAAGTAATATATCAGAAGTTAGAATAGTTATCTAAAGCATAACTCGCTCTTGCTCTTATGTAGTTTGAATGCATGTATTGTAAGTTGCTGTTGACAAAAGCATCTGGCAAATGAATATAATGTAATGTTATGTAAAAGAAATGAATAAACACTTCAATAATCCACCTGAAGTCAGGCAATAACAGGTGTTGATGAAGGGGTACTTGAGTTCATCTGACAGGGCTGTTGGTGTACAAATGACTTAAAAGGTTTGGGAACCACAGAACTATAGATCAGCAAATCTAGTGATTATCTCAGGCAGCATTTGCACTGCAGGACCTCAGTTTTTAACCCATTGTTTTACCTCTACAAAATGCTGTGGCACAAAAAAGACAACTGGTCCAGATAAGATTTTAATTCTCTTTTAAGTAAGGCAAGAAATTGTGGTGCAGTATAAATGCTACTTCAGATGATCAGGCAGGAATGTGTACGTCTCTTCTTCTGTATGTCTGGCTCTCCATATGCATCCTCATGCTCCTCTCACCATTTAGGAATGCAGCAAACACAGGCGCAATGACAGAGCATTTCTTCCTCAGCTCCCTAAAATGGCCTAAACCTCCTGATAACATTTGCTCTGCTAGCCGAGGGGAAGAAGTAGAATGGATACTTTGATTTTAGCTGAGACTAAAGAGACTGAGACAGAAATACCATAACCCATTCATCACAGTGGCACAACCTCTGCAGGGAGCAACCTCTCTAGCCAATTACACAGCACGGCTGCAGAGGCGTTGGATGGCGCATGCTGGTTTCAAACCAATTTTTTTTTTATTTCGATGGCATTTGGTGCTGACGGTCTTTTTGGGCCTTAAAGCATCTGATCTCATGCTGCACTTTATGCTTGTTGGATGTGATGTTCAGTACAGACTGAAGTGTTTTCTTCTCAACTGTTTTCTCTGACCACAAATTTTTACGGCCGTCTGTTCACATCTTAAACCAGGCAGCATTTTTTGCCTGATCTTTAGATTTCCTAGGAGCTTAGACTAGTAATTGCCCTCTTTAGTCATATAAATAAGCATGTTGGTCCTGCTTATGGCCATTTTGAAAGCACAGAGTACACTGAGTCAAACACTGACCCTTGGATATTTCAGTCTGTTCCATGTCAACACCAGTAAGGCACAAATGCTGCTGTGTCACACCATTCAACACACTCTGAGACACCCAATCCCTGGTGGGGAGAATACGAAGCCTAGGCGTGGGGGACTGGAGCAGGGTCAGATGTGACAAGCGTATTAATGGGGGCGTCGGAAGTAAGACGGCTCTGAAAAGGGATGAGTGCAAACTCAATTATCATCCTCAGAGGATTAAATATGGCCGATTGTCATGCCTGCGATAAGGGGGCCTTCTGTTGCTGAGCCACTTTGGAGCTGGGAGAGAAGAGATGAACGGCAGTGTCAGTGTGTTTGGCAGCTTTGAGCCAAAGCAGTGTCTGTGTGTGTGTGTGTGTGTGTGTGTGTGTGTGTGTGTGTGTGTGTGTGTGTGTGTGTGTGTATATACATTCATGTGAGCGTGTGTGTGTGTGTGTGCGCAGCTGCATGTTTTTTTTGCCATCTGCTCACATGCTTCGATTATGTAGCTCTGCAATTATATCATCACCACAGAACCTCACTACTTGGACTTTCACATATCTCCCTTTTTGCCTTGAGTTTACTCTGTCTTTGTGGGTGTCAGGTACCCGCCATCCTCCCGGCAGACGTCCCATGAGGAAGGGAAGGAGTGGTTGAGGTCCCATTCAACAGGGGGGCTTCAGGACACAGGCAGCCAGTCCCCACTGTCACCCCCTGGAGCTTCCTGCACCACCACTGGAAAATACCACTACTCCAACCTGCGTAAGTCCACAGGAATAAACTGTACTTGTAACACATCTTGAATAGATAGTTGAGTTATAACCTACCAATAGGCCGTAAATACACATATATTCATCCACACTGGCAATAGCAATTGCTGGCGGCATAATGTTTTGGGATAGTTCGTACATCCCGCCCTTGTGAACGCAATATCTCAAAAACGCCTTGAGAGAAGTTCTTCAAATTTGGCACAAATGCCCACTTAGACTTAACAATGAACTGGTTAGATTTTGATAGTCAGCGGTCAAGGCTACTGTGACTTTGCGTCTGTCTCATTTTGTAAATGCAATAGTTCAAGATGTCCCTGAGGGAGTTTCGTCAAATTTGGCACAATCATCCGCTTGGACTCAAGAATGAAGCAATTAGAATTTGGTGGTCAAAGGTCAAGGTCACTGTGACCTAAGAAAACATGTTTTTGGCCATAACTCAAGAATTCTAATTATGACAAAACTTCACACAAATGTTTAATAGGATATAATGATGAGATGATGACATTTTATATCCAAAAGGTGAAAGGTTAGCTTCACTGTGACATCACAGTGTTCTGCTAAAACAGTTTCTGCCCACTATTCAACAACATAACAGAAGGGAGACATTTGGTCAGATACTGATTTGGTGACACTATCTTGGGTGTTCACTTGATTAATTGTAAAGATCTTCTGTGCTGCCAGGGGTGGGAGATGTGTGTAATGCATCCATGTTTTCACAGACATGGATATAAACTGCAAATGCAACTTAACTTAAAAGTCCTAGATCAGAGGCAAATTGCAATTGGCTGAGCGCTTGCAAAACGGGGCTCAAGTGCTACTTGTGAATTTTTAAAGACGAATGCTGGGAATTTCGTCAATGCATCGCAGATACAAGGCTGAAGTTGTGTAGTTAAAACTAGGCAACATTGCATGTGGTCCCGCTGCATTAGTGATATTGCAGGGAATATTAGTCTTACTCTTTCATAATATTAAGTATATTTGCATACTTTTTACACTAGCTCTTGTGGTCTCATTCTTTCTGATGTCATGATAACTCAGAAGGAATATATATAATTTATATATATATATATATATAGTTTGTTTTTGTCTTTTCAATGGCTATAACTTATCAGCGCCAATCTTGGTGTTTTTCTTCTCGGTGCAGTGAGCCCCACGAACATCAGCCAGTATAACCTGCCACCAGGCAGCAGCAGCATGAGCCGCTCCAACAGCATCCCCGCCCAGGACTCCTTTGACCTTTACGGAGAGGGTCACCCACTGGGTGGCAGCGCAACATCCCTGGAGGACAGACCACGGGCCATCAGCCGCTCCGGCTCCTTCAGGGACAGCACCGACGAAGGTGGGACACACTCTTAAAAACATACTCTTTAAATGAGCTGTGTTCCAAAAGTGACCTCCCTACTAAAATGCCATTTAAAATAATATAAGGGCCACATTCACCAAAGTCCCATCAGTCATCAAGTACTTTAATACCAGATTTAATGAGCTCTCGCTGCGTGTTCATACTGTGAGTGACTTGGCTGATGGCTTGCTCTGTTCTGATCTTTTTGTGGGTGATGCAAGAGCCTGTGATTGCATCCTTATAGAGGTCAGCTTTTTAACGGGCAAATTATGTTTTTTTCACTGCCTTCTTATAACAGTTCACAGCTCACATCATCTGATTGACTTAACATAGCTATCAAGTGCTATTGAGTCAGCTGGGTAATCATGAATAAATAAGAAAGCAATTAAAGTGACTTCAGATTCGTTAGAAAAGGTGGAATATTGTAACAAACACATTTTTTATTTAGGTTCTCTATACACTTTTATCACTCATTACTCTCCATATGTGCCTACAGTTCATGGCTCTTCATTATCTCTGGTCTCCAGCACGTCTTCACTGTACTCTGCGGTAAGTAGTTGCCAGATTCTCTTTGTGAATTTACAGCTTTCAGAGTTAGCATTACAGTCAGGTGCTGCATACCTAACACTAGTAAATCATGGTGTAATGTCTCCAGTCACTATTTTTATATTAGCAACATAATGAGTTTGTAGCACAGAGAATTACAACCAGACTTGGCAGTTCCACTCAACATGTGGAGTGTTTTAGCCTCCCTCTGCTCATTGGTTTTCCAACCTGGGACTCACCACTCTCATCAGTGTTGTTTCCAGACACAGTAAGCAGCTGTTTTCAGTTAAAAACACTAATAAACTGTTCACCACCTGCCTAGCACCAGTCGGCAAAGTTAGTGACAAGCTGGTGAGTACATAGTTGAGCATTTAGCAGCTAAAAAGCCAGATATTTCCTTCAGTAGTTAAATGGAGACCAAAACAGAGCTAAAGGACTTTTCTTTGCAAGGTAACGGGAAAATAATTCAAAAAAATGAATGCTAATGTTCCTTTGTGGCTGCTAAATGTGTATCTATGACACTGATTTGAACAAGATTGCCATTACACCTTTATAAAGTGATAATATGTCAGTGTTTACAGCTTTTTATGCTGCCCCCAAGTGGCCAAAAAAGTTATTGCAGCTTTAGAGCTACATTGCCTTCTTTTTTTATACAAACAGCACCCTAAGTCCTTAAACGTCTCAACTCACTGTTTTGCGAGATTTTACAGTTAAAAATTGATTGCTGGTGCAAATTGTTAAACAAAGCTAATCTAAGACAGCTGCATACAAAAAAAATAAAGTAGGATTTCTTAAAGAGGACAACACTAGAATTCAGTCAAATTGATGCACATACTGTCCTCCAATATTTCAATCTCCCATTTTTGTAAAACCAAAACATAATTTTGCATCTTTACATGCTTCTAATGTAACTTTGGCAGATAAGACTCTGGACTAGTGTTGGATTTCCAACAGCACAGGCAGCATTCCAGTCTTTATGTTCAGTGAGGCAACAGATTTGTTTTTGGGTGGAGATGGCGAGTTGCCTGGATGAATGATGGAGGAAGTGACATTTTCTGTTATTCTAATCTTGGATTTAATTCACTTCAGCTATGTGTTGGCCGTTCCACAATTTCTCTTCCCTGACATTAAAATGCGTCTCATGTTTTATATGCTTGATTGAGCACAATACACAGAGCCAGTAATCTCTTTTGTTTTAATTATGTTTGCTTCTTCCTTGCAGACGGAGGAGAAAGCACACTCAGAGGTAAGGATGGGTAATATTCCTTCTGTCTGCATGTCTGTTTCTCTTCAGCACCTTCCTGCTTCACATACAAACAGTCAAAGACATTTACACCATGAAGCTGCTCAGTGTAGCTGCAGTGCTGCACTGTTGGCCACCGAGTAGCTCTGCAGATGCGGGCGGGGGTTAAGTGCCTTGCTCATAAACACATTAAAGGTAACTGGAAGGAAGAAGAAAGGACTTAATGTTTTTTAGTTTCAGTTACCTGACTGTTTTTTGCTGTGATTCACATCAACAACCTCCATGTCACACACGTGTTTTGCTGCCCTTAGGTGGCTGCTGTGTTTTTCTGCATTCGTATATTAATGTTTGTGTGTCTTTCTTTTACATTGCGTCAATATCCAGAGAGTCTGTCACAGTCAGTCTTAGCACAAATAGTGCTCAGCTTAATTTGGCCCACAGTTAATGATAAGTTTGAACCAAAACATAAAATGGTATCAAGTTCTTTATAAAGCAATTTAACCCCATGTTGCATTGCTGTTTATTACTAGTAAATCTTTTACATTCATTTCATCTTCATCAACCGCACTGTGCTACATAAGCTGATAACTCATTAATAAAACTCATACTATACATATGCAATGCATGCAGCGCCCTTTGGCTCTTTTTTGTTTGGCTTTGTTTAACAATCCTGTTAAGTTATCATCCATTCTTCCTTGATTTCCAGGTTTATGGTTTTATTTTCTGTGTTCTGTTAGAATCCCTCAGCTTTAACTTCAAGTTTGGATCAAACAGTAGTTGCAAATGCACTGTAGTGTTGGTTTTAACCCTGCCAGATGGGTGGAGTTTAATTTGAGGACAGACCACATAGCACAAACTGACAGTCATGCATAGTGTATTACCAAAAGTGATCCAATTCTGGCTTTGTTTCCTTCAAAACTGACTCCTATTTCAAATCCCCTCACAGGTGACCTACACATGACTTGAATTTAATATAATTTACTTGAGACATTAGTTGTTAGGTTGGCAAAACAGTGACGTGGCTAATAGCAGCATTGAAGATGAGAAGGAACAATTTAAAGAAATCATAAAAAGGACTTGACTGGTAACTAATGTGTTGTCCACTTTGTTAAACTGACACATCTGGCACTTACCTTATTTTATAGGAAACAGTATCAGGTATTTGCAAATGCTATTTGACCCAGGTCAGTAATACTTAGCTTTATCTCTTGCTTTGCTGCTCAGAGTGTAACCATCAGAAAACCAGTGCTTGGCTAACCTCTTTGTCTCCAGTCATATCAGTACATGCTGTTTGATGGAGGCATGCAACATAGTGTTAATTTTCACTCTTCTCTTTTCAATCAAGGGCCAAACAGTCCAAAATTCCACGGTAATCCCCCACACTTTGTGTTCACACCTCACCCCAGTGTCTTTTTACACAGTATTACCATGTAACTGCACATTTATCACATCAAGTTATCAACACGGGAGTTGCAAGTTCAACGTCTCTTTGCCAGTACAATCAGTTTTATGTTCTTTGTTTTTCAGGAGCGTTAACTATACCTCTTTAATTTCTTCCCCCGAACAGCAAATCAGAAAGCTGCGTCGGGAGCTGGACGCCTCTCAGGAGAAGGTGGCAACCCTGACGTCTCAGCTGTCTGCCAATGTGAGTTTGTTTACTTCAAAAGACACCGTCAAAACAGCCGGCTCATTTGCATGATAACCTGCTGTCAGAGAGCTTTTATGGGAAACGTTGGTTATCGAAGTTCTGGAAGGAATATAAATCTTAAAGACACCCACTAATTCCTTTTTTCTGTGTTTGAAGCCACTGTGTGTGTGTACTTAGGCTTTTGCTTGTTTGATTTTTTTTTTTTTTTCCCCTGGTGTGTGTTTCTGTGCTGTCCTTAGATGGGATGTTGTCTGGTGTGTGTTTGTGTATCTACGGTACAGAGAGGATTGTCTCTTTGCTTTTGTCTCAGCCAGTGGGGTTTTAGCAAGGAACAGGAGCCTCTCCCAAATTCGCCCAAGCAGGAAGAATCAAATAGAGATAGACAGGCATGGAAAGAGAACAGGGAGATGAGGATAAGAGAATCTAGACTCGAGTGCATCATGCGTGGGTGAAACAGAGTGAGATACAGAGACCTCCAACCCCCAGACGGAGCTGTCTTTGTGCTCAGATGCAGATAGATCGACAAACTCCAGCGTCTGGCTCGGCTCAGCCCCCCACCACCCCCCCACCCCCACCCCCCACCCTCGATGCCAAGTGCCTGATCAAGCGTGGAGGCAGACGGGGTCTTCGGTTTGGCCTGACGCTTTGATCACAAAGTTGTGCAGAGCTGAAACTGAAGGCTGAACTGCAGGGAAACTTGATGACTGGAAGCGGGAGACCTGACTTTATAACAGAGGCGATACAGTATGTAGGGACAATCAGACAACTTCTGGTTTGTTTTGGTCATGTAACACCACTTGATGGTGAATCTCACATAAAGCTTGACTATGCATAGAGCTTCACATTGGCAGTACAGTCTCAGTGGAATCAATCACCATTCAACACTTTTAAAGGGGAACTCCACCGACTTTAGACATTGAAATGTGTTGAGGTTTTGGGGAGCACTACTGCATACATTAAAAATAAAAGTTGTAGACAGTCTTTTGTGGCTCCAGAGGGAGCTATGTGAAATCTGATAAATGTCAAAATGTCTTGAGTAACGCCATGTGAGTCGGCGTCGGTTTAGCTGGGCACACACTGTACAATATGTGCCTGTTTCTGACCGGATCTTTGATCTGCACCACTCATTTAGAGTTGCACAGAACTTCAGATTTGTCGGGCGTCATTTGCAATGGGAGCAGGGAATGATCATATCCTAATCAGCTGCTCTCAGTCGACTATCAGACATCCAGATGAATTTCTGACATGTCAGAATTTTGTTGCACAGCTGAAGTTAGTGCAACTTGCACAAGTCGATTTCCCAAAGTCAGGCCAGTTGAAAGACTGGTTCCGTATGTGTTACCTTAACGCAGGGTCACAAGGTGTGAGGAGGCTGCTCATCTCTACCCAAAGAAGAGAAATGTGAACTCTAAAGTTGTCTTATTGTACATGTTGCGTCTTTTTACCTTGCTCATGTTAGCCAGTGGAAAGCCAAAACTCACCTGTCCTGTGCAGTCAAAGTTAAGCTAGCTGTTGATGGTCACTAAACACTGTCAAAACATAGGCTGGCTGCTTATTAAACCATGATGTCTTTTTTTAATTGATATACATTTTAAATACAGATAAAATGTTAAATAATATTTGACATGTGGGTGTGACTAATGCGTTGTTTAAATGCACCTTTGAGAGAGCTGAACTAAGTAACAAAACTAAAGTAACATTAACAAGTAATGTAACAAATTATTTTTGCCGTTGAGGAATTTAGTAAAGAAATGTATAACTTTTTCATTGAGCAATATGTAATGAGTAATAGACCACATTTTCAAGCAACTTACCCAACAGTGAACTACACAATTGTGTAGTGTAGCGAGCAGTGTAGCGAGCATGATTCACACATGACAGCGTGTCCACGCAGCTTTATCTGTACTTTACAGTGTGGTACATTTACCGGCTATAACATGTCACTGACTCAGGATGAAGCTACTTTGGAGCCTTGAATTGAAGAAGAGATGAGTCACTGTCAGTGGTGTCAAGTCTTTAAATGACAACCATTAAATCCTTAAGCTGCTTCACAGCTTACATGCACAGAAGCTGTGAGAGGCAAGTGAGAAAAAATACTCTGTTGATCCATTTTCTAAATCTGATCTAAATCATTTTCTCTCCTGTGTTTATGTGTTTATAAAGTTTTTTATTCATTTGTAAAAATGGGTGGAAATGAAAGTTTTGGCTGGTGAATTTTTGTTATCCGAATCATTTTTATGCACCTGTGTTTGTGCGTTTGTTGTTGTAATACTCTTTCTCACCACAAGAGGCTTGCCGCAAGAGTGCATGACTACATTGTGTTCTAAATAGGACTAGAAGAATTAATGTTTTCTTCCTGGTGAGTTTTATTTTCTCCATTCACTCTAAATACCTGGTACATACATGGTGTGTAGCAAGTTGACTTAACATTACTGGCATGTGTTTATTTTGGCTAGAAATACAGCCAATGCTAATGGAAGATTAACACTGATTAGAATACATTTTCAGCCAAAAAAGAGACATGACAGTAATGTTACATAACTTACTAACATAATATATGTAACTACCTTGTGTTTAAAGTGCATGGAGAAATGCAGATGAAAAAAAGATTCAAGGTACTTAGAGAGATTATCCTTCACCTTTTCTCCAGACATAAACACAGGGAAGGAAACAATTTAGATCAGACAACTGATCAGAAAATGGATCATAAGATTTTTTTTTTCACACTTGCCTCTCAGGGCAGCAGTAGGTAGCTCGCACCCACATTTTGTGTGTAGGGGTTGACACCATTGCAAACCGAGAATTCTCACAGTTTCTTTACAGTTCAGTATGGTTACAGTAAAGTAAAAACTTTTTGATGCAGTATCATTATGTACAGTATTGGATTCTAACAGGTTTCAAAAGCTTCTTGCAGGATTTTCACCATCCTGCAACAAGCGAGAAAGGGATGCTGTAACATTGCAATAACACAGAGCAAAAACACATTCAAGATCTAGTCAAGTATGACTGGATGAGAACAATTTACACTTTACAGGGGCCGAATCATTTGTGGTATATATTTTATTAAGTATGTTGCCATAGCTTTGTGTAGCAAAATTATTTAAAAAGGAAGACCGAGACAATATGAATAAAAGACTTAAGTGTTTCCTGAAATCTGTTGTTGATATTCACCGGCCCTTTACAGGGTCACTGAGAATTAAATCAGCAGTGGAAAAGGCTACCAGTCTCATACCTCACTGTGCCAAGACATATGCAAACACTTGCACAACAGAAACCCATATGTGCTTTACAGCTCCCACTCTCATGTTAGAGGCTGGGAAATTTAAAAAGAAAAAAAAATGTCTGACTGTGTTGTACTGGAGCTGCTTCACACTGTAACCACATGACAGCGTGATGGGTTGCTGGTGTTATAAGCTCGTCTTATCCTCCCAGTGGGGAGTGTGACCCTATGGATATGTCAGCCTCAGCAGCCCACCCACGGTCCAGAACTAGACACTCGCTGTGCCATGTTAGAACTGCCAGAGACAACACTTAATCATTTATGTTCCTGAGCACATGTAGAAATACATGCATTTATACAGGAAGCTACACATTGGAAGATACTTGGCTCAACAGTTCCAGTTGACTCAAACATGCATGCACGTAAATACTTTTTAAGCACACATACATACTGCTCTGTCTTTCACACACACTTTTAGGACATGATGTGCAAATAAACGTTAGATATTGTGACCACAGAAAAAAACTGGGTAACACTTTACTTGAGGGTATCTACATAAGAGTGACATGACACTGTCATAACTATGACATGCCACAGTCATGAACCTGTCATGAACATTATGTACATGTCATAAACGTTTATGACTGCTGTCATTAAGTGTTATTTGGTTTTTGTAATGACAAGCTGACATTGTTTGGGTTGTCTTGATTATGACAACTTGACATTAATCAAAGTGACATTACCAGAAGTTGTCTTTGTCATGACAAGTTGACATTAGATTTGTTTGGGATGTCCTTATTATGACAACTTGACATTAACAAGAAATGCACCTCTTTTTGTGTTTATGACAAGGTGACATAATGATTATTGTTATGACAAAGACATCTTCTGGTAATGTCATCCTGGTTAATGTCAAGAAAGTAAAGAACCAAATGACACTTAATGACAGCAGTCATAAATGTTTATGACATGTACATAATGTTTATGACAAGTTCATGACAGTGTCATGTCATAGTTATGACAGTGTCATGTCACCCTTATGTAGACACCTTCAAGTAAAGTGTTACCAAATACTGTTGCCACTTTGAAGGGGCATTTTGAGGACATCTTGCTTCTCTAATGTGATGATACATAACACTAATTTCTTCACCATTTATTCTTCAATACATATATGCCATGGTGTGTATCCTAAAAGGTCATTTCAATTTGGTTATAACCTGAAATTAATGCATCCTTGACCTTGTGATTCTAGAAAGGGCGTCAATCGTTCAATTGTCTAATTGTCTCAACCTACAGAGGAACACAATCCTTAAAGTTTAACCATGAAAATCACCAAAATTGATGATGCCACTTTAGTAAGAGAGGGTATTTTCTTTCAGTGACTGAATAATCATTTCATCTCCCGTCTTCTCGTCTGAAAGCCACAGGGAATGTTTCGGTGATTGAGGTCATCTGATCTCTCTAATTTGCTGTGCCACTGCATACATGATTATTATTATTATCTTGTACTGGGTTTGTTTTGTGCAGGAAATTAAATTTGGATCTTAAACAAAATATTCTGGGGGTGTCAATACTCTCGGTCATGCGTGCTGTCATAAAAAATGAGTCACATTAAGAATATATTTGCTGCTGCACTGTCATGTTGGATTAAAAACACTCCACAGATATCGTTTTAATTACCTGCGTGTTTGTTTGAGGTATTATTCGATCAAATCGGAGCAGAATTAGTAAAACCAACATCCTGTCAAAAATGGATTACAGAGAACAAATGCTGCCAAATTGGTGAGTTATTGTACCATCTTTCAGCTAAGGAAGGCGATATGTTTTCCTGCCTGGACTGACATTAAATCGGGTTTAAGAGTTCACACAGGCACCCCTCCTCCTCCCTCAATCTCCTTCCTCTTTCTACTCACCCTTCACTGTTTCACCTTGTCAACCCCCCTTTCTGCTCAGCCTGGAAAGGGTTCCCCCCTCCCTATCACCCCCTGTTCTGCTTATTCTTCTCCTCCCTCATTTTGGCTGTATTCTTCCTTACTGACCCTTCCCTCCCTCCTATCGTCCCCTCCCCCTTCATACTGTAGTTTTTAAAAAAGGGAGCCCAGCAGCAGGTGCTGGCTTAGACCACTCTAGTCGTGACTGTGCATTGCCGACATAGAACCCTTTTGAGATGTCGTCCGCATCTTTAGCAATGGCGTCAGGCAGCACTAACACAGATGACTTCTCCTCGTCCAGTTCACTGGTTTGGCCCACCGTCAACCTCTACCCCAGACCACAGGATCAGGATGGTGGTCAGAAAAGCGGGGGTTCACGGTGCATGCGTGTCCGCTGGGGCCGGGCCCCGGGAGCAAAACAGATGGCTCAGCCGTGGGACGTGTTAAAGTCTGATCAATGCCTCCTTCAGAGCGGACAGGTGGGCAGGGGGGTGTTGAGTCGGAGCTCACAGGTGGAGTTGGAAAGAGATGTGGAGCTGGAGAGATGAGTTGGAACAGTTGGCATTTCTAAAGGTCAAGACCTTTGCTGATTCAGCCAGGGACACAGAGTGGGAGAGGCAGCACAGAGTGCTACTGTGTGTTAGTATGAGTGTGTGTGTTTATTTCTAGATTTAAGAGGTCCTGTCATCCTCAAAAGGATAGATAAATGAGGAATATTCCCATTTTGACAGAGCTAGATTGCACATTTGGGAACAAATGCTGTTAAATTCAGTAAATGTCCGTAAATGTTTTACAAATGTGTGTGTACATGTGTGTGTTTGAGTTAAGCAGAGATTGTCTGATCTGTCTGGGCATCCTGCCCACCTCTCTGTGACACACCAGACCTGACAGGTGTCTCAGGGTCTCTAGCTAGAGATGGCAGGATGAGCTGGCAGTACACACACACACACACACACACACATACATATATATATATAAACAGATTTTACAGTCTCAGATTTGTACAAGGACACACAACCGTGAACATACGGCTTCACCAGACATTCAGACATAAACATGCATTCAAAAAACACATGCACAAGCAAGTCTGGTTACACATCCAGACACACAAACACAAACCACAGGTTCAGCAGAGCAGATGGCGTGACGCCGCGAAACATTTGCCATCCTTCAGCGTGTCGCCTCTGCATCTTCAGGTGACAGATGAAGTCAGGGAGGGCACTGATCTGAGTGCCTCTGTAATATCCACAGCTTTCTCTCTGTGCTGAGTGTTTTCTTGGTGGTATTCGTCCAGAAAGACGTTTTGGAGCATGCTCAGATCCAGGATGGTTAATTCACAGCAATAAGATGCAACTGTGAAGTTATGTAATCGCTTCTAACAAACTCCCCGTTCAAATAAACCATTCTGAACATGCTCTGTGTGAACTTGCCCTTGAAATCTCAAACTGTGACTCAAAGTGAAGGGCTATGTGTTTTTGTTGTTTTCTTTTTTGAAGCTAGGTATCCCAGCAGCACTCCATTATATTAGGGTGCAAGGAACCTCTTCAGAAGGGCTCAGTAAGAGCCTTCAGATTTGGGCAAACAAACTTTTCAGACCACATCTCATGTAATCCTGGGCTGTCTTTGGCTCAAGTGAAAATTCAGTTGAAAGTTATCGTCACCAACCAGCAGACCAACTTATTAATTCTCTGGATGGGTTTTTCTTCAAGGGAGGACTTTTTTTTGGCAAGTGATAATTGGTGTTTATTGTACTGTGGATTTTGACTGAACGTGTTTTGCTGTGGATAGGAGTCCAAATTAGCTTGGGTCAGTTGTGAGATTTTTTAGTTTTTTTATTCTTGAAAACTAACATTTGAATGCTCTACCATTTTAAATATAGTTTTTATAGTTTGCCTGAGGGAAAAATAAATGTTCCAGTGAGTAAATGAAGTCATTCTACTAAGGAAGCATAATGCATTTACTTCGGGAAAAAACAATTTGTGTTTCTGAGTTTTAAAGATTTCTTTATCAGAAATCTGAGAAAACTTTTCATGCCAAAAAAAATCTGCTCGTTTTTCTGAATTAACAACAATCTTCTAAATTCTTAAAGACAAGAGCAGAATTTTAAGATATAAATCTCGTTAATTCTTAAAAGCTAATCAGATATTTTTTATGCATTACACCTCCGCACTCTACATTCCTGCAGCAGCTGAAGCTGGATTTGTGTCTCTCTCTGTGTCTGTCTGCAGGCTCACCTGGTTGCAGCCTTCGAGAAGAGCCTGAGTAACATGACCTGCCGCCTGCAGAGCCTCACCATGACTGCTGAACAAAAGGTACAAGAGCTTAGTCCTGAATTTGAAATAAACTGTATATGAACTCCATGGCAAGGGGATTACAGGGAGAAGAAATGATTAGAAACAGGCAGTGGTTTGACATTGAAATAGTGCAGTGAAATGTAAGAACGTAGAGGTCGGCAGTTGTGGATTAATGGATATTTTTATCTTTAGTTTCAGTTCCTGACCCATGTGAAAGGTTTCTACTGAAGTTTTCGTTTTTCTATTAAAGTTTTAGTTGTTGCCTGAATTTTTCCCTAACTTTACTCCTGACCTTAACCAAAGGTGTTTGACTTGCTTAAAGTACAAATCTTTTGCTTCACAGGGGGGTAGAATTTCCTAGTTTTGCATGGGCATGCAAGGGTTCAGTATATTCCATATACCTAAGGCCCAAAAACCCATTTCAAACCAGTGTGTTTTCCAAAAGTCCTCCAGTATATATCTGCTCCGGGGTCTATTTTTCTTCATTTTCATACAAGTTGACTTTTTGACCGACAGGAGGTTTCAGAGGAGCTTGAATTGTGCTGAAACACTGATCACACAGCAGCAGAAGCAGCAGCAATATGCTGAAAGATACATATCCCTACCACAAATTATGAATCCTCCCCTCTGTTCATACACCCACCCACACACACATACACACACAGAGTGCTGACGAGCCCTGGCAGCTTTTTAATCCTCTATAAATTAAAGCAGACTGGGATCTGGTGGGATGTCTTTGTTAAACAAGGCCGTCCCAACTTTTAATTAAAGCGGAAACCCTATCTGCAGCCCTCAGTGGGTTTTCGGGCATGGCAAAATAGGAAACTCCTTCTATCTGATCGTGTTGGTTCAACAGAGTGGAGCTTTTTTATTCTAAGCAGGTGGTGCCGGGGTTGGGGCAAATCCGCTGGGAAACTCCTATCTTCTCTACCCTCTCTTCATTTTTGTCTCTTGTTTCCTTCCATGAAAGCCATGCCAGAGCCAAATTTAGGAATTTGTTTTCAGTGACAGTGCTCAACACAAGCCAGACAAAGAGTAGTTTTTGGTGCGTCATCCTTTTTTTAAAAACTGTCTCTCTCCTCAGGAGTCTGAGTTGGTTGAGTTGAGAGAGACAATAGAGACGCTGAAGACACAGAACACTGATGCCCAGACAGCCATCCAGGTGGCGCTCAATGGCCCTGACCACCTGCACAAAGGTAATGAAGGAACCAGCAGGGGATGTTGGAGCAAACTTCTCTTAGTTCATCTAAAGTTTAAGTCTTAAACGCATTAGTGTTCCATATGTGGATGCTTATTTTAGCCTAATTGGCCCCAGGGAGAGTTGAAGCCCTAATACTTGAAGTATTTATGCTGTATTGGTCAGTTTTGGAAAGCCTTGATGAGTCATATAAACAACCTAAATCAGGTGTGTAATCAATTTTGTGAAATGACATTTTCAAGTATCCAACCTCCTCACAGCTGCCTCCAACATAGCTGAACTGTAAAGCTATAATAAGTTATAAAATTGTGTTTTCAAGACTTTACGGTTTATATTTCTCAGCAAAGCCATTCAGTGTTTTTACATTTTGTTGTTATCTCTCTATATAGTTGTTTTCATTGGTAGTGGTGGAGTCCGCCATTGCCGCGCTTGCAACAAATTGCCTTTACATCCATGAGGGATTCACAGGAAACGATAACCTGGCTAATTTTATCTCATCAAATCTGCCTCTTTTTACTTTTCACTCCCTGAAAGCTGTTGTCTGAGCTGTTTTAGGTGCTAATGCTAACCCAACAATTCCTACTGCTGCTGGTTCACATTAAAAGTGTCAAATTTGCGAAACACAGGCTGGCTTTTATTGTGAAGCCATCACAGGAAATAGAACACATTTGTCACAGAGTTTGCAATTATTTTTAGGTGACTTAATCAAAATAACATGAGTTTGTTTGGCTGCACTGCATTTTTTTTACAAAGTAGCTACTTTACAAGTATTTACTGTAGTGTTAAACTTTAACATCTGATACCACCATTAAGCATGGGTTTTACCAAATCACCAAGGTCTGACATGTTTAGACAGTTTAAAGAGAAAATTAGACCAGTTTTTGAAGAACATTTTAAAGTATGGATCAGCTATGCATTGTATCTCATCTTTTCAGTGCACTAATATAGATTTTGTTTGTAATTTCCAGACCTACGTATTAGACGACAGCACTCATCAGAAAGCATGTCCAGCATCAACAGTGCAGCCAGTCACTCCAGCATGGGCAGTCTGGGCAAGGACGCCGAAGACAAAAAGAAGAAGAAGAAGAGCTGGGTAGGTGGAGAAACTAAGGAAACTATGAGACAAAAATTGCAAAGAAAGGTTGAGTCCAAAATTTAACCAAAAAAGGAAATCTCAGACAAGACATGCTCAACTGCTCTTCTGCATGAAATGCCACAAAATAAAAAATCTAAAAGACAAAAATACCTGTATATAACTTTTGAATTGGACTTCAGTGTACCTACAGGTTATGTAACCCAGGCATCTCCATCTCAAACTGTTCCAGTAAGTTGCAGTAGACATCAGGCGACGTTTATTTTTACATTCACTTTTCTAGTCATTGTTTAGGAGGTGGATTAGGTGGTAAAAGACTCCATATTCAAACACATATGAATTATTCAGTGGTAGTTAATCTAGTTCAAATACACTCTGTATGCCTGCATTAAAAGATTAAATGTCATCTTTACATAGATGAAGGCATTTTTGTGGAACCAGGGAATAAAGCTTATTGTATTGTCGCACCAACAGCAAGAGCTTCGAAATGAGCGTTGATTATTCTGACTATACCTGCATATAGCTCAACCTAATCAAGAACTCTGTCTGAGTTTGGTTGCGACTTCTCTGTATTTAATCAAAACTCCGAATCAAAAGTAGTATGATCATTTCAATCCCAAATGGCAATACATTTTTATTGCAATACCTTCCTTCTTTTATTGTGAAACTGGTGGTTAAAGTGAGTTTGTGCAGCTCTGTAAGTGAATCATCTTGAAATAATTGGTTGGTACAATTTCAATTGGTACAATGGCAGTCACTGCTTGCCATTAAGTCAACACTTGCCTCCACAGTCCAAGTGTTTTGACACTTCTCAGGTTGAAGACAGGTCATCTGCAAAATCCTAAAAACGCACTCACCTCTTGCTTAACGACAACACAGTCTGCCATCGTATATTCGTTGCTAGGTTACAGAGCTGAAATGGTGTCAGCTGAGTGGCTGAGGTACCACCCAGCGGTGAGAGCTAACAGGGAGGTCGAGCAGAGGAGTCAACCACCCTGCAATTATTGTTTGAGACGCGCTTTGAATCCATATACAGTGACAACGGCATGCAAATTAGGTTGGAAAGAAGCAAAGTGGCCACTAACATCATGGATACTGAAGTTGAGCTTGAAACCAGGGCAACAGCTGCCCAAAGGGGAAGAGAAGAGAAGTGCTGGTTGAATCTCTGAGTCAAGTGGGAAAGTCTGGGCAGAAGAGAAACTTTCACTTCCCACAGTACTTTTGAGAAGGGCTCTTAATCCCTCTGTTACTCAACTGGACATGGTCAAGTTTGAGAGTCTAGAAAGACTCAGAGTCTTCCACAAAGTTGACTTTAACTTGTCTCTCTTTTTGGCAACTGGGTTTCTTTGGTAGCTCAGGTTGCTAAAGTGTCCAAGAGGTACTTGCACCTGCTTTGGGTTTGCGATTTAGCCTCAAAACATTTGCTTTATGCAGTACCCATTTCATATTTCTTTTCTACTGAGGACTGTGTCCACAAATACCCACAAAACAAGACATAAAAAGGCCAAATTATCAAGAAAAAAAAATGCACATCCACAACCATAAAGCTCTCTCCTCTCCCTCTGTCCCTCTCTCCGATTTTTCTGTTCTTTGCCTCACTCCACAATAGCAGCTCAGTGTTCCTGGCTGGAGAGCTGTTATTTGCTGCAGCCCCCTGAGTCGGACGGATGACATATTAGAAGTTCCGCCTCAGCCAAAGAGCGCAGAGCCAGAGCCAGTTTTCACCCTCTGCTGCAATGCAAAACGCCTGCCCTTGAAAATGCATGCTAGCAGCCCAAAAGTTCACCAGTGGCAGTGACACCCTAGCCTGCTATATTAAGTGACACCCCCAATAATAAATCACATCAGGCTTATGAATGCAAATCAATCCCTTATTTAAGCAGTAATTAATTATTCATTTGCATAAACCCTGCCTCGGTGCACACACGGGTAGAGACACAGATAGAGTTCAGCTAAGGTTACTGAGAAGTGACTGAAGAGTGAGCAGGAAGGCAGCAGATCTGACAGAGTAGCACCAACAGGATGGCATTAAAAATAGGCGGGGTGTCCTTCAGTAAGGCAAGGACGTAGCCACCATGATGCCATCCCTTTGTTTGTGGATGTTTTGAAGCCTCGACTTCTTCATTTCAGCCATCGCCATCTTAGTTTTTTGGAGCCAGAAGTGACCAAATTTGGATAAGAGGGTGGGGCTGTGGAGGAGTTAGGGCTAGATCTGACTCACGAGCCCCTTTTACACTGCCAGATTTTCCGCCAATGTTGGGCCGTTTTGTAAGCAAGCAGCGAGCGTTTAGACACACAAAGCTGGATTGGCGAGTTGATGCGAGGTGCCCAATTTTCCACCGCGTAGGGGTAAACTTTTTGGCAGAACCTTTTTGGTTTAAAAAGAACAAGGCACCCTTCTGCAACGGGAGGGGCTGTTGATGACTTGTGGGAGGAGCTGTTGATGATGCCACATGTGCGACCCACTGGTGGTGGATAAACAGGAAACAGCTTATAACAGGAAATAGCGAGCAGCTAGTAGCAAGAGGGAAACACAAACCTGACACACTGTAAAGATGAGCAACTGGGGAGACAAGAAATTGCGCGCCCTCCTTGCCCTCGCAAATGAAGAGGCCATTAACCGTCAGATGAGGGGAAGAGTGAAGGACAGGCCAACTTATGAGAGAATCGCCGAAGGACTGACCAGCCGTGGCTTCCCTCGGAGTACGGCACTGTTTATGTCACACGCTGAGCTACACGTTTTGTTACTTGCACACACACCGCATTGCCCCCAAAAAGGCACATTCTGTATGAACAAAAGTAGGTAGGCGGCAATTTGCCACACTCCCCAATTTTGTTTTTATACTGCCAATGCTGAACGAAGACTGATTGGGCTTTCCTGCAAATTTGCACAATTCCTATTTAAGTTTTCTGCCCTGGAGGTTTCCCCTTTGCAGCAAGCATCTGACCTGCTGAATTCGCCGTGAGCATGACACAGACCTCGTTGTGGAGGATGTTATGCAGCATACTCTAATAACTGTAAACATGTGTAAACATCAGGACTGTTTATTGCAGGCTCAACCCACATACACAACTAGTCGTGTATGTGAAAATCTGTCAGAATGATTTATGTTGTAAAATCCATCCCTCCATTCATTTTCTATAGCTGCTTATCCAGCAAGGTTAGCAGGGGGGCTGGAGCCTTTCCCAGAATGCACCGGGTGGTGTTGTTAAGTGTTTAAATTTACATTTACTTTTATTAAATAAATGAATGTGCTGTGTTTGTGTGTTCTGTTTAACGTGATTATGGTCCTGTTGATTTCATGCAGCGTCTTGTACTACATGCTTATATTCATATATGCTTATGTTCAAAAATGCACTAAACTTACTACTCTTCATTATCGTCATCCTCACAACAGCAGTAGCTGTATTTGCTGAGAACAATGTGCTCAGTAAATCAGACTCATGAACAGCATGTATCTTTAATCAACCAGAGGGTTTGTTGTTGGTGGATGAAGTAAGCAGGAGTGTGTGTCTGTGTGGCTTAACGTTGGGTGTGTTCTGCATCTTCAGGTGGCTGATTCCATCCCAGCTCAGGTCAGTGGCTCCCAGAGTGTCCTCTGTGTGTGTGTGTGCTGTGGTTATTCCTCATCCTCCCATCCTTTCCTCTCTTTGCTCCCTTATTCGTTCCTCCTGTTCCCCCTCTCAGAGCAACCTCTTCTTTCCTCTCTCTGGAAACGTCGGCATGGATACAGCAACCCTCCTCCTTGTTACTACCTCCTCCCTTTTCCTCTCCCTTGTTCATTTTGATTGCTTGTTCAGCCCTAATTTTCAGGGTCATTAAAAAGCCTGGTCTCCCTTCTCCTTCTCTCATTTCCATCTCTACTTACGGCCTTGCTTTTTGCCTCCCTCTTTACCTAAACCAGACAGTGACCATTGCTTGGAAACAACACACAGTGACTTCCTGATCTGGCAGGATGCGATGTCACCAGAACATATCTCTTAGGAGCTGACATGATGTGATTGTAGAGTTGGTGGGTGGCGATATTGACGTCTTTGCCTGTGCGTTTGTGTTATCTGTCTTGCAGTTGCGCAGCTCCTTCAAGCAGGCGTTCAGCAAGAAGAAAACCAAATCCCAGTCGGCCCATGACGAGATGGAGGAGATGACCGACTCGCTGCCATCCTCGCCCAAATTGCAGCACGATAACAGGCAAGGCAGCATTGCCACGCTGCATTCTTCACCCTCCACCACAGAGTGAGTTTGTTACACATGCATCCACTCTTACAACCATATACACACAGGTAATTCTCCCCCCTTGTGCATACGAATCGACTCTAAATTATTTTCACTGTGATTTTTTTGTTTTGTTTTCACATATGTCTGTTAATCCTCACCTCACTTTTTCCGACCTATCTGTTCATCCTTTTCTTTAACCTCTCTCCTGCTGTAGCAATTGCATTTGCGATAGCAAGTCCTCCCCCATTTGGACGCCAAAGAAAAAGCTTAACGGCCATGTGGTCTACAAGCACAGATCTCGGTAATAGGCACTGTGTGGCCTGCTCCCAGGGAGTGTGTGTGTGCAGTGGGGTGTGTTGGTGTGACTTTCCTCCTGCATCTTAGTGCACCCAGGCATGTCGGAGGTGATGATCTCTCGGGTTCACAAACTGAACCAGAACCTCTGAGGTGTCCAGTTCATGAGACGTAGCGGTAGGCTGAGTAAAGGGTGAAAAGGATAAGCTCACACCAGAACGAATTGGCACTGTGTCACAGCAGAAGGGACAACATGTGGCAAATTTGCCAACCAGCAACAAGCATGCAAGCACTGTGCACATCTGCTGTGCTGTGTAACAGCTGGTGAGATAATTTCCTTTTTAAGAAGTGTGTATAGTTTTCTCAGGGGCTGAGCATGTGGACGTGTCAGTTATTGAATTTCAGTGTGACAGATTCTTGTTGCATTGCATCTAACTCTAGATATTGTATTAGATCTGTGCCTGTTTACTATCAAAATAGCTGAGTCATGATGATGGGAATACTACACACTACAGGATCTTCACTATCACTGCAACATTTACACTATAGTTGTCATTGTGCTCATAGTAAGTAAATGGGGAGTATTGTAAATGGGGGTGGATTCGCTGTCCCAAATGTCCCAGCTCCCCATTCACCTCCATGTTCTAGTTACCTGTGCGGTTTTCACCACTGACTCCAGCTTCCCTCTGAACTTCAGCTCTCCTGTTTCCTTTAAGTGTGTATTTTTCTCTCTATATTGTGTGTGTTTGGTATAACCCTTGAGGTGACCCCCTCCTCCTCCCTGTGTGTAACCCCGGTTGCAGGCTGTGCGAATGCACTGAAGCCGAGGCGGAAATCATCCTCCAGCTGAAGAATGAGCTGAGGGAGAAGGAGCTCAAGTTGACAGATATTCGCCTGGAGGCGCTTAGCTCCGCCCACCACCTGGACCAGATCCGAGAGGCCATGAATCGCATGCAGGTGAGATTACACTCGATTAAACGCGGGTCAAGCTTGTGCCGACTGACATGTGGGTATCTATTTATGTTTGGAAAGGTCAAACTGCAGCTGCATGCAGAATTCCCCATTTGTCGGGGTAATATAAAGGTGAAGAACTCAAATATCAAATTGGCTTCAGTCATGTTTATACCCTTCTTTTGACAAAATCTTAGGCAAAATCACATGGAGAAAGAAATACCTTTGGTTCTGCTATAGTGTTTTTTTTTTTCTGCAAAGGCTGATGCAGGCAAAACTTCCCTCTGTCTGTCTAATTTATTTGGGCTAAAGTGGTGTGTTTCTCCCTAAAGGCACTGGCACATTACAGCTACTACCAGTTAGGAAGTTAACACTGCATTCAGTGGGTTAGTGGATGGCTGGTGGCTGACAGGGCACCAGTGGGGCATCAGGAGAGCTGAGGGCAATCTATACACCAAACACTGCAGGCTAGCTAGTAATTGTAGTTCAGGATATTTCTTCATTCTCCCCACTATTCATTTAAGTCTAAAATATTTAGGAAGAGTAATACAAGGTAATATAAAACTAGGAGAACACATGATACTGTGGCTTTCCAGCTATCACATATCACACTGAGCCAGTATGCTGTATCACCTCTAAAACTGGCAAATAATAAATGACTTATTAATTAAATAAGCTGTCAAGGTGAACACGCTTCAGAGAGGTGGAATGAAATTGTTTAATAAAGTTTCCTCCCTGCAAATACACGTATATAATTTACCTCTATCCTTCCCGTTGATGTATTGCAATGAGACGCCCATCAGTTCAAAGTATAATGTTCAGAGGTGCTGCGTCATTTTGTGTTCTTAAAAGGAACCCGTGTTCAAAGAATATCGCCATAAATGTCTCAGTTAAGTGGATCTGTGTGGATGTGGATTGCCTCATCTGTAGAAGCCTATAGTCTCCTCTTAGATCTGGGGATCATGTAAGGCTCCTTATCTGAGACTTAACCTTCAGTACAAAGAGAGCCTTGAAGATCAAAAAGCCCATAATTCCAATAACACTGATTCAGAATAACAACAGCCTGAATGCAGGGAAATGGCCGTCTGCTGTCTGAGCAGATTATTATTCAGAGACTTTGAATGCGGTTTGTTGGATTCTGCCTAAATTGTCATTCTTTTGTCAACAAACAGAACGAAATCGAGGCACTGAAAGCGGAGAACGATCGTCTCAAGTCCAGCGGTAACGCCACGCCGACAGCCACGCCCGTCAAGACGGCCCGGCCGCCCTCTGAGACCTCCAGCACATCCTCGTCCTCCTCCCGTCAGTCCTTGGGGCTGTCACTAAACAACCTCAACATCACTGACACCATCATGTCAGGTCAGTTCAGTGTCAGCTCCGGTGTCTGATGTGTTGGTGTAAATCAGCGTTAGCAGCCTGCGGTTGTTTCTGAAGTGAGAGCAGTAAGTGTGAGAGTGGTAGAAGTGAGTGTAATAAACATCAGACCTAAAAATAATACATGTCAGAATGCTTACACCTGCCAATCAGGAGTGAGCATTCAACAGAATACCACCAAGAAATATTTTGTAGTTGTAGTTGCAGTTGGCAGGTGTATTCAGCTAGTAGGAGTTAAACCTCAAAGTATGGCATTGTCAGTGTCATGTTCATATGTCTAGTTAAGCCGTAGGACACACTTTATGGTCTGCAGCAGCTCTCAGGGCAGTTTGTTTTTTTTCCGTGGTATTAAGTTGGATTAGCTCTCTCCACACTTGCCTCAATAAATGTGAGAGAATTGTGTTTGCGGAGAGAAATGATCCGGAGGAGCCGCATGAAATGATGAAATAACTGCTCTCTTTCTACTGCGAGGGCTGGCAACGCAGCAGGAGCCTGTTATACACAAACACACATACATACACACACACACACACACACACACACACACACATACATGAACATGCTGAGAATCTCTCCAGGCCTGCTCCATTGGAGAAGTGAAAGAGTTTTGTCCCCCTCACTTGTCCTGTAATTAACATAGAAGGCGCAGCTCTCTCCGAGGACTCGGGCCCTTGTTAATTGATGGAGGGATGAGCCGAGAGCACTGACGCGTGGGAAGACGAGTGGGCCAACGGGCCGTTATCACCCCAACACAGAGCCCTCGGCTAAGGGAAGCCAGCCGAATACAAAGTACCTCCTTCCCTCTCCAAAATGGAGTCTGGGATAAAGAGAATGAAGAGAGATTTATGGTGGGAGTTGTTAGTGGTGGGGTTGTCGTCAGAGGTTAAAGGTGGCAAGAAACTAACTAATCAAAAACACATTTGCTTGCACAAAGCAAAAAAAACAGGGCTGCAGAAAATTAGAGTGTGCTCTATTTGCTGCAGCCAAAAACCTCCTTTCATGGCAGTATGATACGCCTCTGGGCAGCTGTAGTTTGTAACACAGCTGGACGTAACTTTTTGCAGTGCTATACAACGCCAGTCGGCTGGATGGCACCTGTTGCGGCAGTATGATTATCATGTGGCCAGACAGCACCTGTTGCAGCGGTATGATACGCTGCTGGACAGCGTCAGGTTGTAACGCTGCTGGTAACAACGTGATATAAGGAGCAGGAAAGTCCCTGTAAGACAGGCAGAAGGGGTGGTGGACAGGTTCAACAAGCCCTGGACTTTCACCTTGGAGCCTGGTGTTCTCTTCCTGCATAAATGTAGAGCCAACCCATGTACTTTTGTTGCCCAAACCTAAGCCCTGAACATCAACAGCAGATGCAGAAGGATACCTTGCGTGTAATATGTAGATGTGAAAGACTCAAGATTTTTGTAACCTGATGGTCATCAGGGAAATGCTTATCAGTTTGCCTTTAGTTCTGTTGGTGAAGAATTGCACAAATATAAGATGTGTGGGATGTCTGATTGTTGCTGTAATGTGATGTTAATGTCCTCTGCCTCTTTGCACACATTGTCAGATTGATAAATATCATAAGTCATTTTTTCTTTGAACAGCTGTCTTCTCGTAGTTACTCTTGCGATTTTGTCCCACTGCTGTCATGATAACATCCTACTGACTAACCATTTAACTCTTAACAAATACCTTAAATAAACCTTTTTCTTCACAGTGATTTCCCATCTCGACATATTCTTCTTTTTCCTCTTTGTTCCCCTCCCTCAGATTGTGATTTCCTAACCCACAGTCGTTTTTACATTATCATTCTGTGCACTCATTCGGAACCTCTCTGTATGAAAACATTGATTAAACGTAAAAGTAATTATCGCATGAAAGGAACCCATGAGCTATCTTTTACTTTGGAGGCTGTTTGTCCATTTCCAGCTGTAATTTGCCAGCAGGCAGAGTTTGTTTATAATGAATCAAGGCTCTGACAGATGAAAGTTGGCTTCCTAACAAAAAGTTCTGTTTGCAGATATTCTGCTCGATGATGGCTACGAGGGCAATCTACGCAAAGAGGGCCGCAGTGTGCGAATAGTGGTTACCATCAGCAGTGGGCCATATAGCACCAAGGTTAGTGCATGAAGATTTTACATTCTCTTCTCCTCAAGCTAAAACCACTGTAGTCTTACATGTGTCTGACTCCTGTTATCTCTCAGGGTACACAAAGCCAGGCGTACCTGATTGGGTCTATAGGTGTGAGTGGGAAAACCAAGTGGGACGTCCTGGATGGGGTCATCCGACGCCTCTTTAAGGTAAACACAGCATTGCTCATATGTTCAGGTCAGTTATCTAAGTTTAAAACAGGTTTGACTTTTCATAGCAGAAAAAACATGTAACTTATAACATGAATGATGATTCAGTTCCATTTAGCTTTATTGATAGGCCAATGTCAAGTCAAAATGTCTGCCACTGCATGCTCCGGCTCAGCTCGACTCGACTCAACTAATGTCTGGTTTCAGGTCCTTTAATCCATTTCTTTTTCCACTGTGGATAGCATCCCCTCAATGTAGGTGGGTTGCTCAGCTGATCGCCATAGCGATGCCGTGTGAAACTGCTGTAATATCGTCAATGCCAGGGTCTGACGTAGACTTTTAGGGGCCCTGAGTAGATTTCATTTGGGGGTCCCCCTCATTGTCACATGTTGGCAAATGGCACTGAACCAGCTTGTGTATTGTAAATATTAGCTTAGGCGCATATCATTTTACATTACTTTAATTTATTGACAAACTTCGATGTTTACCTGATTGCTGTTCCAGCACTTCACCTTTACGGTGTTTTGTTTTTTTTTTCTGTTTTTATGATCAGAGGGATAGTTTGTTCCATCCTCTTTTGAAGTTGTAAACATTGACACATACTTTGACTTATTTTCGTAGTCTGTGAAAACTGCACAGTGAGCATAAGCCCGGCTCTGCTTGTGGAACATTTCAAGCACCCTTGGGGGTCCTCTACTGGGGGCCCTAAGCAGCTGCTTAGTTCACTAATGCATCATGCCGGCTCTGTTCAACACAACATTCGCTGAATCCTGTCATGAGCAACCAAACTTAGGAACATCTGTACTTTGTTAATTATACCAAGTAGCGTGTGGCATAGTGTACGGTGTAGTTTTGCAAGCAACCATTTTTTATCTGGGGTGTGTGAATTAAAAACACTGTGGCTGCTGTTGACATTAGCTTGGCTATTCTAAAATGGCAGGTTTATGCAGGATGTCACGTGTAACACCAGCGATGTTACTCTCTGACCAGTCATTGGTCGGCAGTATTTTTAGCTCCACCTTCTAGTATCGACTCAGTTTGCTTGTACCCTCGACTGAGGTGGTACCAAAAAGAACAGCCAGGTATTATCCGCAACTTTTGCTAATGGAAAACCAAAAAAGTGCGAGTCGAGTTAAGTAGAACCATGCTGTACCATGCAGTGAAAATGCAGCATATTATAGCTGTAATAGAGTAAAATAACCGGGGACTTATTAATCAGCTGGGTACTTTTGCACACAGTTAGAATAAAACATTCTGCACTTATTTCCCTCTGGTCTTATCAAATGATGTTTTTATATGTGGTGTAAATGATTTATTATGTGCCTGTTCCTTAAAAAAGAAAGTGTGTAACAGAAATTACTGGATATTCATTTTATTTAAATACAACTGCTTTTTGAGATGAAACTAATTGGAAAAAATACAGCAATGCATATTACAAATGCTGTATCCATTCAGCCGTACAGAGGCTCATATCTATTAAAGCAATTTATTCCTCTTGATTGCATGGAATTGGATTTTGTATGATGAACACATACTTTTTTTGTCTTTAAAGTAAGCCAAAGTTAAACTTAAGAATTATATATCTACAAAAAAATGTAAAAACTCTGCACATTGGAAACAGCTTGAGTAAAGATGTTAAAAACATTGTCTCTGTTACCGCTGATATATTCATTTATTTACAATATTTTGGTCTGCTTGACTGTCATCAGTTAAATAAAATGATTGAAACTAAAACATTATGAAACCAATTCTTAAACAAGCTCAAATAACTGTCTTTATTACTCGCACCATCACATGGTGGTTTTCTGTGTGAAGTGATTTGCTTGAGGTGGAAATCAACCATCTGTGTCTGAAAGATTGGCAGATACACACAACCAGCTCCGCTGTCACTCTGAAGATATGTTGGACAACAAGAATCACCGCCTATATTTCAGAATGATCAGTAGTGCAGCTCTTTATGTTTCACTGTCCTCTCACCTCTCCCTGACTTCAGGAGTACGTGTTTCGGGTGGACCCTCTGACCAGCCTGGGTCTCAGCTCAGACAGCATCATCTGCTACAAGATGGGTGAGGTGGTTCGTTCCCACGCCTCCGAAGTGCCTGAGCTGTTGCCCTGCGGCTACCTGGTGGGCGACAACAACGTCATCAAGGTCAACCTCAAAGGTATGGCAGCAAGGAAACAATGTGTTTCTATTTCAGGAGTAGAGCTGATGTAGAAACTTGCTTTGGGTTTTTAAGGGAAATGTTAGAAAGTAGAGTAGAGAAATAAATATGAACTTGAACCTTGAACATTATTTTTTCTTTTCTATTCCCTCCCTCCTTCTTCCCTCCTCTTCCCAGGTGTGAAGGAAAACAGTATAGACAGCCTTGTGTTTGACACGCTGATTCCAAAGCCCATCATCCAGCGGTACCTCAACCTGTTGATGGAGCATCGTCGTATCATCCTCTCAGGACCCAGCGGCACCGGCAAGTCCTTCCTGGCTGCCAAGCTGGCTGAGTACATCATTTCCCAGATGGGGCAGCAGGTGACAGAGCACAACGTGGCCAGCTTCAACGTGGACCAGAATTCCAGCAAGGTAGGAAGAGGAATCTGAAGGTGGCAGTTTGGGATATTTTGGTGCACTGTGGCAGCAATTTTTCTCACCCAGTCTGTCATATCTACAGTACTGCTTTGGTTTAGTGACTTTTACATCTCCCAGAATGCCTTTGAACAATGCCAGAGGAGATTCGGATGATGTGTGCATGTAAATGGAGATATCAATGTATATATATTTTTTATTAGATTGTAAAAAGTGGCGACCAACCTATCAGACATGGTTTTCCTTATCACATGTACATTTCCTCGTGTATAATCATACTTACATTCTGAATGCTGGTACAAAACTGCAGCTCTAGAAGAAGTGTGAAGTGAAGTATAAAACTTTAATTGTGACAGAGTGATTGTACAACTTGACATTTTCTTCTGATGTTTTTGATTTTTGAGTGTAATAAAAATACACTCACATCTAAATAATGGGCTCCAGAATGTGACACACATCACCATTGGCTGTAATTTGGCTGTCAGAGCATAGACTGTATAAAAGAAATAGATGTAGCCACCATGCCTCAGCCGTTGCGTACACTGTTTTACCCTAAATGGGACCATCATTTACAGAATAAACATCATGCTGTATTGGGGAAGACTTTAAACTAGTGACTGAGACCATGAACTCATTAGGAAATTTTTACTGAGGTAATAAATCCAGTGAGAAGTAGGGCCATTTTCTCATAGACTTCTCTACAGTCTGACTTCTATTTGCCACCAGTGGAGTCGCCCCCTGCTGGCCATTAGAAACAATGCAGTTTTACAGCACGTCCACACTGGCTTCACTTTTCAGACCCATAGGCTCCGTCCACTTCTTTCATACAGTCTATGGTCAGGATGGCTTTTATTTAAAGAACCAGAGATCAACATAAATAAAAAGGTAGTGGGGACTCAGATCTTAATTGCATCCAATTGAAAACCTGTCACTCCTTCCTTCCCCAGGACCTGCGTCAGTACCTGTCCAACCTGGCAGAACAGTGCAACTCTGAGGACACAGACATGGAGCTCCCCACTGTGGTGATCCTGGACAACCTCCACCATATCGGCTCCCTCAGTGACATATTCAACGGCTTCCTCAACTGCAAGTACCACAAATGGTGAGCCACAAATGTCTTGTATTGAATATCAGTAAAATCACAGCTAAAATAACTGTAATGCCAAAAATAACACATTTTAACAGTATGTGTCTCAAATTGAGAGGCCAACCTGGTGCTTATCATCACTGATCTAACAACAACATAATGCATAATCTACATGTTCTCAGTTATTTAGTGACGCACTCTGTTGTCTTTGTTTCTGTTCAGCCCTTATGTTATCGGGACCATGAACCAGGGAGTGTCGTCTTCTCCTAACCTCGAGCTACACCACAACTTCAGGTTTGTGCAACACACACAACACAACCTTGACTTATACAGAAATGAACTCTGGTGCTGTCTCTCAAAATATTATGATATTAGTAGTGTTTTCAAAGATACCTGTCATATTGTGTGTACGCTATTGGTTCCTCAGAGAAATGACTTTCAGTTTTGTTTGCTTTGCATCATCTCACCTGTCAGACAATGTGCTTCTGTCAACATATTATCTCTCACAGATCGTAAACTAAAGGCTTTCTTCCTCTGAGAGTGCTGTAATCACATCTCTTGGATAATTAGCCTTGTTAAATGAAAATGATTAGACAATATGCATGTTCTGAGTGGGGATCATTTCTGCTTGGCATGTTTGACTAGCTGATGATTTGGCAAATATAAAGTCATTAGGAAAAGCTTATCATGAGCCAGACATTCATTTAATATGAATCTATAAAGGGAAACGAGCCCAAAACTCTTCACTCTGAGCTGCTTTGATGAGGAATGTGGTTAAATGTTTAGCTGATTTATTACCTCCTCTGTTTCTGTTTCACCATCGATTGTTTGTCCCGTCGTAGGTGGGTGCTGTGCACCAACCACACCGAGCCGGTCAAAGGTTTCCTGGGCCGTTTCCTGCGGCGGAAGCTGATAGAGACGGAGATCGATAAGAACATGCGCAGCAATGACCTGATTAAGATCATCGACTGGGTCCCCAAGACCTGGCAGCACCTCAACACCTTCCTGGAGGCACACAGCTCCTCTGACGTCACCATAGGTCAGTCTCACAGACACACACACACACACACACACACACACACAAACTTTCTCCTGCTTGTGTCTATACTGTTAGTCCGATATTGAAGCCAGTGTGGTGTTTAAAAGTAAGTGTTGTAACCCTGTGATGTTCTTGTGCCTCCACTCTTGAGTTGAGAGTCTGCTCCATGTCTTTGGTCTTTGGACCATGTCAGCACTCATCACCTGGGCTCTTTTGTCCCTACAGGCCCCCGTCTGTTCCTGTCGTGTCCCTTGGATGTAGAAGGCTCTCGGGTTTGGTTCACTGACCTGTGGAACTACTCCCTGGTGCCCTACCTGCTGGAGGCTGTCAGGGAAGGGCTTCAGGTATGTCCCAGCAACACTTGATTTTTCTGATCGCTATATGACAGCATTATTGTGGCATATGTGTGCATTTATTCGCAGTTTTGTATGCCTATCAGCACGGACACAAAGAGTTAAGAAGCAGATTGAAAGCGAGGCCCTTCCCTCTCTCGTAAACTGAGTGTAAACACTGATCAAACTGTAGAAGTAGGCAGTGCTGATGAAATATAAGCCAAAATTATGTTACTGTATTGCCTATTTCTCACCTAAAATGTCCTCAGAAACCTAGTGCACTCTTTAACTGTAATTCAAAATCCTTTTTTACCAGTAGGTTTTCTACCTTTTGAGCAAAAGTACATTCCACAACTCTTTTCCTCTGTATTCTCTGGTCATGTAGAACAAATGTCAAAAGTATTTGCACATGTCTCCTGCAGAGACAGCCCTGTTTTATGAAAAGACTGCCTTTCCAGCAGTGAAATACTTCTTTAAGTCTGTGGGCCATTGGCACAGCTGTTCAAATGATATGAGACGAGTAATGAAACTTAGAAGATAATGATAGTCACCACACTCTGTGAGTTTTATGTCACTGCACATAACTCTGGCATATTACAGGAGGCACAGATATGAATAACAATTGCAGGTGAGCTTTGACAGTAGCCCACCACTTGGTGCTAGTTATTGTGATTGCACCTGTACAGGAGTATCAAATCTGATTTAGAAAATAACCCCAATTTCTCAGGCACTGATATAGAGTTTGACTTTTTTTATTTGCTCATATCTGTTCTACTATGTCATCTATACCCTCTCTCCCTCTTTGGCACACCTGCAGCTGTACGGCAAAAGAGCAGCATGGGAGGATCCATCCAAGTGGGTGAACGACACATATCCATGGAACGCCGCCTCGCTGCAGCAGGATGGCCAGTCGCTGCTGCAACTCAGGCCGGAGGACGTGGGATACGACGGCTACAGCTCATCCAAGGAGGGAGCCTCGTCCAAGCAGGTGTCTCAGAGCGACACTGAGGGAGACCCACTGGTGAGGAAGACAAACACAAAAAAACTGTAGTGATTACTCTGTTAGGGAGTTTCTAGTTTACCTGTAACATATAAGAACAACATCAGAGAATACAGAGGGACTTTAAAGTGAATTAAAATAGGCTCAATGTAAGAAATCTAACACCATGGGAAGAATATGAGGTAAGTGACGTTAGCTGTGTGTGTGTTACTAAAGATAGAAGCAGAGAGGAACGTGCTATGGAGATAGATACTGCCTCCATATGTGAACTGTGACCCAAACCAGATGATTTGATTCAGTTAAACAAATCAAACATATATATTCATGATGCAGATTCATAAAGTTATCAATTCAGTGATGCTAGTTTCCATAGAAACCCAGGATGAATGTTACCTTGGCTCTTTTCAATAATAATAAAATAAATTAAGACGCTAGTAAAGTAGCCAGGTGGTATAGGCTCACACACACACACACGCAGGAGGCTGGACTATTCAGGGAGGTGAGAGAAAGAGAGAATTAATTTCCATTTGCTGGGTTATTGCAGCCCGAGAGGAATTAAAGGGTAGCCATCCAAAAACAACTGGCTTGATTTAGCAAGTGTGCGCGTGTGTGAGTGTGTGTGTCTGTGTGTGTGTGTGTCTGTCCAGGCGAGACCAGTTTGAGTGCAGGTGTGCCAAGGCTCATTTTAGGAACACTCGAAGCAATGCACCATATGCAGCAGCATTTCTGCATTATTTAGACCATTAGCTCAGTTGCAGGGATGAGGAGTTCTGCAGTTTTATTAGGCTGATTTACCACAAGGCTTTAAAAGTGCTTTTTACCACGTGTAAAGTATAGAGACAAAGTTTGTGAGTCATTAGACCGAGGTTTATAATGGGGGTTTTAGGTATGGTGGTTAGTCTCATTACTGCTTTTCCACTCTTGACCAGGCACTGTCGCTTGATCGGAAGTGTCCTGTTTTTCCAATTCAGGATTCTTGTGATCACTTTAGAGCCCTGCAGCTGTGTGCATTTAGCCAGAGAATCACTATATAATTATGATTGGTCACCACCAACAAATTTATTTGAACCAAATTTTCACCAGACCAATTGAACATTGATGTGCAGTTTGAGAGGGTTTGTGATGCCCGTTCATTGTAGCACAAGGTAGTGTCACCTCTGTTTTTGCTTTGACATTGTTGAGGATGTCGTACTTGGGCAGGTGAGTTAAACACAATTAAATACCTCCTTCTCATCTCTCTGTTGAGCTTTGCACATACACAGCACCAATCGACGCTTGCAAAAAAATAGCAGAGGGTGAAGACATTTTATGAGCTGAAGGGCAAGCGAGCGTTTAGTTGGGTGGCGGATTTGGGTTGCGCTACAATTTTGTATTGCTGTTTCCTGCAAGTTTGAGAGAAAAGGATTGTTTTCACAAACAGAGTTGTTTTCAGGGGCACGTTAAGTTTCCGAAAAATGTTGTTTGATGTCTGCACGCCCTCTGTTTTCCCACACACAATCTCTCTCATTAAGGCGTTTCTTTGTTTGTGTATTGCCTTTCCAGATGAACATGCTGCTACGGCTGCAGGAAGCAGCTAACTACTCCAGCACACAAAGCTGCGACAGCGACAGCACCAGTCACCATGACGACCAGCTGGACTCCTCGCTGGAGTCGGCGCTATGAGACGAAGAGCTGCGCTGGGAGACACCGGACCCCTTGAACCTGGGAACCTCTGAACCTCGGTCACTAGCAGACACCCCCTATAGTGCACAGATACATAATATATGAAAAGTTTTATTATCAAAATGGTATACCTGCCATTTGATAGAATATTTTTACATTACAATGGTGCAATATTAAATCAGATTATTGTATGTTTTAAAGAGCAGCCAACTTGGTCCTCAGTGATCAACGTGATAAACAATCATACAAGTTGGATCCGTTATATTTTAAGCATATAATTAAGCTCAGCTAGTCATTTAATGGATGTATAACATTTTAGAATACAACTTTTCATATGTGTGTAGGCGGGATATGTCTGACAAGGGACAGTAGTTCCTTTTGAAGTTGACTTCCAAGGAGTAAATCACATTGTGCTCACTCACGATGAGCCACAGATCACCCCGTAATTTTAACATGGGGTGTCAATCTCTGAAGTGTCAGAAAAAAAGAGAAAGCCAAGAGTTTAAACTGGATTTTTCTTTTTCTTTTTTTTTTTTTAAATCCCAGATATATCTTCAGATGTTTACAATGGGGGGAGATGGGTTCTGTTGTTTATGTCTTTCCTTGTTTACAGAGGTGCTTCTCACACAGACACACACACACTCATGCACTTACACAGGCAGCAGGAGGACACTGTCCTCTAATCAGAGGCTTCGATTGGTTCAAGCCCCCATGTGACCAACAGTCCAGCCTGCCAAAGTGTCCTTGAGCAAGGCACTATTTATACCACCCTGGGACCCTCATCTCTGACCCCACCTATTGAGGGACTGTTGAGTGTTTTCAGGTGATGTAATGCCCTCTGGTGGTCACAATGGAGGTTTTCAGCTGTTAGAAAACTGGTTCTAAACAGATTTTCTTTACACACAAATCACAAACTTCTCCGTCTCCTTGTTTACCACTATATCACCTTATTTGGGTGTCTTTGCCTTTTCTGAACATAAGGACAATTCTGCGCCTCCATGATGGCACCAGACGTGGTTGATTTAAAAACATTTGCAAAGCCTCTGCAGCCCAATTAGGATCACAAGAATTACATTTTCATAACGGCGCACAACCCTCCTGTTCAGTCGTCAGTTGAGCTTCATGGTGCTGGTCTCCTGCCCTGAGCCTCCTCAGTGTCAGGCACTGCCAAGCCGCTCCTCGCTGCCCTGCATGCCAACAACAAGCACAACGAAAGCCCATTGTCTGTGTGTCATCCAGCCACATTGCTACTGTGAAGAAAAAAATGGACAAGTGCCAATGTTTCCCTTTGATTTACTGCCAAATGTAGACACGCGCACACACAAACACAACCATACACACACAGAGACTTAACATCACAGCACACAGCCGAACATGGTTGTAAACTTAGATTAAGTTGTTCTTGGCCTTCCACGCTCCACAGCCTGTTGTCACTCCATAGCTTACAATGCACCATGAGAGCAGCAGGCAGCGCCTTCTGTGAGTCCCCACAGAACTGTCTGTATTGACCGTTTGCTAAACACCTCCCTTAAACAGTGACTGTCCAGTCATTAGCAACTGTAACTCAGCATCTCTGTCAGGCTTTCTCCACGTGTTACAGTGGCATGCAGAGAGATGCAGTTCATAGATACTCAGCATTTACAGAGTTCTGAGGGTTAGTTGCAAAGGTTAGCATGATTGGCTAATTAGTTTACCACCTACAGTAGTAACTGAGTTTAACCTGCTCTTTATTTAATTTATGGAGGTTTAAACTCCAGCAACCCCAGCCAGTATAACCCTGAGACTGATAGTGTTTGCTAAACACATAGGTTAGTTCTCACCCCAAACGCCTTTTCATGACAGTGCCCCATGACAAGGCCAAATGCCCTATCTTATAGTGTCAATGAAAGTATTTTGGGGCTCAGTGTTGTCACATGACAGACCCAGAAATTGTAATTCCACAATTGGCCAGTATGAAAATTGGCTTCAATGCCTGACACTGTTCCTGCGGGTTTGGTATCCATCCCATGATTTGAATCTGTTCCAAACTTTAATGGGTTCTTCCTTGGCCCATGTTACATCCTTCCAACAAGTTTAATAAAAATAGGGTCAGAGTTTCTTTCATAAGTCTGCTGATGAACGAACAGACCACCCAAATGAAGACATAACGTCCTTGATTGAGATAGATATGAACAAGTATGCTAGCTAAGCAACTAAACAGATTTATGTTATAGTCTAATGTTACTAGATTAACAAGCTAAGTTTGTACTGCAATACAAGAAAAATGCTGTTTTTGTTAAGCTCCATTAGCCTCAGTCTTTCAGCCCGTTACCATGTATGAAGCGCACATTAAAGACCTATTTCAAGATTATCGTTTTAAAACAAGACATACGCAAACATTAAGCCCATGGAACTAACGTTAGCTTAATTAGCTACCTAGCTGCAGCTAATAAAATGTTGAGTGGCTAATATACTATCAGTATTATTATGAACTCATGCAGAGGTGTGAGAATGGAAAGCCTGACAGATGAAGCAACATGTGAGGCGGGGCTTAGCGAACGGTCACTTGCAAATAGCTGAATTCTTATGACATTTGTGTTAACCTGCATGGAGAACCAAGTAGATGGGGTTTGCTGCAACATTCAGAACATAAACTGGTAAAATTCAGGAGAGCAGTAAACTGACTTTGAAAATGTCAAGGCCTTTACTTCAACAGATATGAATCAGAGCTGATCAATCAACAAATTAATACTGAATTGAATGATGCAAGGTGACAAGGTGTCTTGTCTGGAACTCATTTGATAGTCTTGTTCAGCATCTGCACCCATCTGGTATCCATGAGGTACCAAAAAAGAATCCAAAGTATTTTGAAATGCAAGTGAACCAGATTGGCCCAAGAGCTGAGAAAGGGAACAATGATACTGGTGCTTTCTCACTGCCTTAAATGTGCAAAAGTCTGGGAGGCATCCTCTGCTCCCGAGTGAGAAGAAGAGACGTTAATGTCAGACGATGATGATGATCTGCTTCCTGCTACGTCAAAGAAGCTGCTTGTAGTCGGAAAAACAGCCTCTTTTTGTTTTTTGTTTTCTTGCTCCCTCTTCCTCTAAACCGCCCTTTCTTGTTTCTGACAGTTAAAGTATAAAATGCTGTATTTGAATTTAAAACTGACCAATATTGTAAAAACATTTAAAAAAAGGGGTGGGGTATTTTTTAGTTGTTGTTTTTTCGCCCAGTTGAGCTGGGCTCACTTGAACAGGAGCACAACCAAACTGTTTTGGGTTTTTTAGCCTGATGAGCATGTTTTGAAGCTTTTTAAAGGGGATGCATCAAGGAGAGACCTTTACCGTTACGTATGCGTGTATTGGACGGAAGCCATTTTGAATTTTGATTGTCCTCTCTTTGTTTAACGAGTGGGTTGGTTTTGCACACTTTGAGGTCGGGGTGGGTTGTAAATACTTAAGTCTTGCACAGTGAATCAAAGATGCATTCTGCCCTGTTGATGTTACAATATGCTTAACCCGCTGAGTAAATTATTGTACTTTGAAAACAGAGAGAAAAAAAAGAAATGCAAAAACTCAACACGCTGTCAGAAACAGGTGTGTGTCTTGTGGTGATTGGATGTTTTGCCTATGCAGGAGGCATACGGTGTACAGTAAGAAACAGTTTTTAGCTCACAAAAATCACAGACTGAGAAAAAATAGGCACTTTTCCAGTATCCCCCCTTCCTGCCATAATATTCTCTGGATCCTCTCCGTCTTTAGGAATGCCCTGTTGTTCCTTAGATGCACTTCCTCTCTGGACATTTTCACCCAAGCTTACCGCCACGTTAGGCTTGCAAGCTGTCCGAGGCACCGAAGCTGACCTGACACCGTACTGTATACATCCAACAGGTGCTACTGGTCAGTCAAAACCCATCAGAGACCAAGAAGTCATGTTGTCACAACCTCAGGACAATCCTATCCTCTACAATCCTACCTGTGTTCAGCTTCACATGTGTCTCTGCAGCCAAGCCTCTGATGGTTCACACATGTATCTGGCCAACTTGGTCGGCCTTGCGTCTGCAAGGGTGTTTAGTTGCATGATAAAGGGGTAGTTACCATGGTAACAGGTTGCTCCTTACCTACAGTTACACCCGTGTATCAAACCTGAACTTATATCTCCCACAATTCACCCTCTCAGCTACTCTACACTCCTGTTGTGGGCCATGAGAATCCCGAGCTAGCAGAACTTTGGCACCGTTAACAGTGTACACCATAGTGTTGATGATCAGCTGGTCATTTTTCCCCACTTTACACTTTGCAGTTACATCTCAGTTGAAAACCATAGCATTTACTCTGGTTTGAGAGAAAGTTTTCTTCTTTTTGGGTGAAACATTTGTCCTTAAATGTTTTATATTTTGTACATTTGTATGTAACATATCATGTAAATAGACAGAGACAGTGATTTAACTCATCTGGAGGATTTTGTAGTCTTTGTAAAGCCCTAATAAATGGTATTTGGTGTCACACGAGCAAACAACATGCTGAGCCTTTTTCTGTGTCCAACTGAAATGTGTGGTGTGTTTTGGGCGGTTAATGGAGTGGAGGGTAAAGGCATCGGAGATGAGTGATTCAAAATGAATATAAAGAATGTCAGCATGTTACAGTGGCCTTGTACTTTGAGATTATACAAAAAAAAACATTTAGTACAAGTCACAAATTAAGTCAGAACCGTTTATCATTTACCAGGGTTGAAGTAAACAGGACACTGAAGTTACTAGGTCCAATAGAAATGGTCTGTATTACTTTAGCGAAACCAAGTACCTTTAATCCCTAAGTGTCTGTAGAAAACTTGCTCCTCACCTTGAGAGCAATCAATCTAGAGCTGTCAGCAGAAGAAATAGACTTAATCGGTTTGAATATCCTCCTGTGAACATTTTGGGTTGACCTTATACTTCATTGTAATTAACTTAGAGCTGTTGCCCTCATTTGTGGACACTCATTTGTGCCATCTAGTGGTAGAAAGAGCACAATACACTAATCCATGTAAAAAGATGGCAGCCATTTCTGCCAAGTCAGTCTGCAGCCAATGCTGACACAAAAGTGGACAAGGTCCAAAACCTGATCACATATTGGTTGAAACTGGTTTGATATGGCAACAAATTTGACCAATTTAAGCAACGGTAACAAGCTAAGACATTAAGACTTTATTAGGAAGTACTTGTTTGAAGACAATGGCATTTTATTGTAATCTCATTGGAGGACATTGGAGGACTTTATTATCATTGACAATGCTTAGCTTTTTATACTTATTGGGATCTTTTGATCTCAGATAGCTAGGAGAAATTAAAAATGCATACCAAACAAAAGTTCAGGGCTCAGGAGGATATAAACCGTATTAACACTGCACCTATCAGCATTTTGACATTATTACAATAAGTGGACAACTAAGCAGCTTTTATCAAAAATATGTCAGTGTCATTGTCACAATAATGTTAGTAGCAATATGAGCTAAATATCTAAATCTTTTTCTATAGAAAACGTGATTACTAAAAAACTAAAGGGCATTGAACCAAAATAAGACAGGATGTCCAATGGTGTGAGGTAGCTACAACAAGCCCCAGTGCATATTATTATTGTGGGCTTGAGTGCACACTAGTTGTTACTTATGAAGCACACACACACACACAGAGTTTTATGTTTGAAAGGCATGACTGTGCAATCGGTTTGCAGTTTTGCTCAGCTTTAGTTTTGTGCCTAAACTAGCTATATATCATATTGCTTCTCACACGAGGTATTAACATATTACCTGACAATCATTATTGCATGTCTATATGTGACAAAAATACCAAAGAAAATAAGAAATAATTTATTTAACTGAATAGTGTTTTCATAGTTTATCTAATAAAAGCGCTGCCAATGCGTATGTTAAGCTGGATTTATACTTATGCATCAGCTCTATGCCATAGCCTACGCTCCTGGTCTACGTTGTGAGCATTTCTACTTCTGCGGAGGTGTGTCTGTGTCACTCTGCAGTCACACCTCCAAACCACTAGTCAGCAGTGGGGTTTCTGTGAAGTGTTGTAAAATTTAGTTGATTCAAAACACACATTATATATGGCTTAATAGAGACAATTTCAAACACAAGGACACAAATCATCTTCACTACAGCTCGCAGCATTCACAGACAAACACCTGTCTTTCGCTGGACACATTTTCCCCACAAATACAACATGTAAATGTTTTTGGCTCAAGCCTATGACATTTTACATTGTATATATTAGCCTAGCAACTAGCAGAGATTTCCTACACTCATATGAAGCCAGGATAAATCACACACAAGACAAAATGTTACTTTGTGGGAGCTTTATTGTTTTCACAATTTATTGTAGGCTCTACGTTGACGCAGAGCCTACTCTGTAGGTACAGTGTCGATTCGACGCAGAAGTATAAATCTCACTTTATATGTCACACTAGAGGCTGGTGCTGTAGTGTTACATGTCATGCCTGTGGCACCTCTTTTGTTTCTGCGATGCCGGCCTGCTGAAGGAGCATAATGCCGCCATTGTTTGATTTTGTGCAAAAATGCAAAGGCGGCATAAAGAACGTATAGCGACCCTCTGGCGTGTTCAGAGTGGGGGTCATAATTCGAGCCCCCCACCCCTCCCCCAGGGCATCAGTGCAACGTCACTGCCTACACTGTCTATACCTACGCCCCTGACAGTCATGTGTAGTCAGATAGGAAAACAGTGACTGCTAGAGCCCAGAGGGTGGGTAACAAGCTTTATTAGACATAAGTCTGTCATACATCTATCTAAAATTAGTGTTTACAATACGAATACAAATAAACAAGAAAATGCAGGAAGTGAAAAATGCAGTGAACGTGTCAAAAGTTATGTTTTTACTGGGGAAAAAATTACAAATGAAATACTAGTATTGGTTATCAAAACCTAGCACCATGTCGTTTTATTTTGAAGGGCTATTCGACATCTTGTTTGATCTCTTCCGGAGAGCTCGCGCAGCTGTACCTAAGGCAAACATGGGACCAGGCACGTCTCCCGTGACGGAGTCAGAAAGAGACGATAAAATGTCTAAACCTAAAGGAACTTCGGTATCTTTACCGCAGCACTCCTATTGGTATGACTTTTGGATGTTCGTGCTCTTTGACGTGGCGTTTTTCCTCGTCATGTATTACATAGTCCCGTAGAAAGGTAAGTGGAGAAGTTTTCATTTTGTAACTGAGAAGGCGGCTACGGAAGTTGCTAATCCACTGAGCTAAATTAGTCTGGTTAACTCAATGTGAAGTGATAGAAAATTAAATGACGCCTTTAATTTGTCACTTAACAGGGTGTTATTCACTAAACTATATTTCAGTTTAAGTTTCTCAAGCCCAGAAGCTTTTATCCTTCAGGTATTCAACCCAGCCACTAACTGCTGTTGCCCTTTATGTTTGGCTGCTTGTTCAAACATCAGATATGAGTTCCTGCACAGGAGACCACAGTAGTAATTACAATGTAAACATACTCAGTTTACTCTCACTAAAGGTAAAGAAAGAGAGAAGAAGTTGAACCAAGAAAATGTTTGGTATCTTTGCTTAAAATATTACTGAAAGCAGTACCTTGTCACCTTGATAGTCCTTATCAGTGGACCTTCTAAAAAATTAATCAACCAGGCATGTCAGCTCTTACACAGTGTGTCATGGGAATTTCCATGTAAATGTCTCCTGATTTGGGCTTTAAAATGACTTTGTTTCAGAGTAGTTTGGAGTGATAGCTTGTTATTATGATATAGATTTTGTCAGGGATTAAAGTAAGCTCTGGCTAGATTTAAATGATAAAGAACAGGTAGGGTGAGGTGTATAGTCTTTGTAGGCACTGAGTAGTTTGAGAGCACTGTGTAGCAATACTGGTGCTGATGTTTGCACAAACTGTTTCCCCTAAATGTAGTAAGGTGTTAGAGCCACCACTAACATTTTAGTACACTCTGCCTTTATTCAGTTTAAAGCAAAATGTTGTATTTGGTGACCTCACTGTAAATCATCTGTACCTTATTTTGTTTGCTGGGGTTAAAATTTTGTCTTGAATGTTATTACTCTTGTTTAGGTTTAAGGTTTGTCTCCTGGACTCAGGAGCCTGAAGACATGGAGTGATGGTCCTGCCCTCCTGTCAGGAACGCTAACCCAGCTTTGACTGAATTTAACACCACGCTAATGGATATCACATCGCAAGTTTCCTCAGCTTGGACCACGGATCTGCCAGTCTTGTACACATGCGGCATTCTGCTTTGACACTAGAGCTTTGACCCACTGAGCTCCTTCCCTCGGTGACGTGTTGCCAGTTGTTGTGGACTGTCTTTCTGCATGGATGGATTCACGTTGTTCCCTTGGGGAAGAGAAAGAAACTTAAAGTATTTTTATTGAAAAGTGACAATGGCCATCTAATGATCTTCACTGATCCCCAGAGGGGAAATTAGGTTAAAAAAAAAGGCAAAATAAACTGATGAAGTTGTGGAATATCATCCCAGCACATGAAAAATGTTAAACTTTGCACATCGAAAATACGCGAATAAAATGTTTTACCTACCTACTAAATGGTGACCATTTGTTTCTTGTTTAGCTCTTCACATTTACACACATTTTTAAATCCCTATTATTATATAAAAGCTAGCTAAGTTCAGTAGTCTAAGATTTACTGTGCATGCATTGCAACATTGCCTTGGAGTGTTATTTCTGCTGTCAGGTTTATAAACTAGTAGTTAGCTTTAGGCAATAATACACAACAAACCACCATTAAAGGTCCAGTGTGTAGGATTTTTGCCGCTTCTAGCAGTGAGATTCACCTGTAACAAGCATTTAGGAGAACTACATGGCTGACCTGAAACGCAAATGGCCCTATCTAAAGTGAGTGTTTGGTTTGTCTGTTCTGGGCTCCTGCTGTAGAATAACACCAGACTCTGGGAGATGACCCTCTTGGTATGTAGATCTTTTCTTTTCAAGATATTTTTTTGACATTTATTCCTTCATTGATAGGGACATACACTCTACCAGGTGAGCTAGAGGTTGCCCCAAAATCACTACATTTTAAGGTAATGACAATACAACGGTTCGTTTTGGGGGGTGATTAGAAACTGATAAAAAAAATTATGAATATTAAGTACCATTTCTGCCAGTAGATGCCCCTGAATCCTACACACTGGACCTTTAATACACTGTTTAGTTGACCTGATAGATAATGAGGGATAAGCCTCCTGCTGTGTTTCTGCCCACACAGATTATCTAATAACCGTCTACATTGATTAATCTGATGAATTTCCTTATACATATATATGTATATGTATGTGTGTGTATATATATATATATATATATATATATATATATATAATGCCTGCTTTTTGCATATTATCAGCTGGTGCTATTCATGAGAGGTATTTTGGATAGCTGCACTTTATTGTGTTTGTACCGGTTGTACGTAAGTGAGATGTCTTATTTTGAAAGTTTTCCGCACGTGTTTCCGGTCTGTGAGGAACTAACAACAAATGGCTTGCAATCTCTGTCGACTAATTCTGAAAAGTGACTATACATTGTTTTAATCATGGAAACCACAGGCAGTTCCTATCAAGTGGAAAACACAGGTCCGTTTTACTGCATCGTTAAATCCTTTTATCGCAGCTAACAGTGAACTAGCTGTGCTGCATGGTGTCGTTATGAGTTAGCCTCAGCTAACAGCAGTGATTGTAGCTAACAAATGTCATGTGAACAAAGTAAAACATGGAATTAAGTTAATATTTACTATATGTAAGAACCTAAGTATTGTTCGTAAGTAAACGAAAGTGTAAAGTTTCCTTTGTGGTTCCGACAAACCAGTCTTCTGTAAACCACAGCTCCCACAGTTTTAGCTTTGAGGCTAACTAAGCTAAATCAGCTGTGTAAGGAGTTGTTCTGGTGTATAAGTACTGTGTGTGTGGGATTTCTAAGTGCAGGACATTATGCATGACAGGTACAGTGCTGAGACAGCAAGAGAAAGTATTAGTAAAATAGGCAAAACTATATAGAACACGTAAGGCTGTGTAGTTGGCATGTTTTTACTGTAACACAACACTCTAATGTGCACTCTGACTCCAATACATGCTCCAACAAAACATCTCATACAGTAGTTCCCCAGTAACTAAATGTTTACTTACTTTAAAGGGAGACTTCGCCCATTTTAAAAGTCCATACATGTTATTCCTAAGGTCTAAGACAGCCCAAAAATAATAGTAAAAGTGAACAAAGATCTCCAAAATCCCAAAGCTAGAGTGCAAAACTCAAGTATAAAGTCCGGAGCTGCTCCATAGACAATAAATGGTGAAAGATGAGAGGGGAATGTTCTGAGTATATTGGTACAATTTCTGTTTCACACTGGAGAACACTACAATAGAATAAAGCTGATTTGAGTATAAAAAAGAAAATAAACATTCTGTGGGTTCACAAAATCAGGCTCCCATTAATCCTCTATGGAGCAGCTCCAGACTTGAGCTTTATACCCCATGACAAGGGTCAGCAACCTTTACTACCAGGAGGGCCTTTTTTGGTCCAAAAAAATTAATTCAATCTGCCTGGAGCCACAAAATATATTTGAGCTGTATGATAGAGGTAACACAGCCTTTTTAAGTGTAAATTAGCTTATCAACATTACTTATAGGTCTAATCATTAATATGTTTTACCAGTAGGTGGCTACTCTGCAGTAAAGTAGTGATGATGTGAATATTTGGTACCTTGTAGCGAAAGTAAATAAATCTGTCTATGCACTATTAAATTCAATATTTTCCTCCAAAACTTTTCCTTTCTGGAATTGGAATCCACGGCTAGCTTCACTAAGGAGACTCAAAACACTGCTTTTGATGTTCAGAAAAATTTAGAGAAAAGGCACCAGGCTGTAGACATAGAGCTATGATTCATATTTTAGTTGAGGTTTTAGTCTAGGCCTACAATGATGAATTAAAATTAAAATGTTCAAAAATGACTTTAATTTTTGGTCAAAGCCACAGGGAGCTATTGGAGATAAGCTAAAGAGCCATATGTGGCCCCGGAACTGCAGGTTGCCTACCCCTGCCCTTTGACATCACAAGTTTGATACTTACCGCTCTGGTTTCCGGCTTTGAAAGAGAGTAGCTCATGTTAGCAAATATTGATTGAACTTTCCTATGCTATAGAAATAACATATTTGAATTCTTAAATTAGGTGGTGTTCCCCTATAAGCCTTTCGCCTTTTTCAATATTGAAGTCAGATTTAAACTTAAGTGTTCCACCTATATTGTCACACAGGACCTTGTGTACAAGCAATATTTCTTTTATAAGCCAACATGCACACATTAGTCAGGTTCCACCACTAAAGTGTGTTACAAGAAGACATTTCACCACAGTACATCATGACCAGTGGTGGAATTTAACTAAGTATGTTTACTCAAGTGCTCTACTGAAGTACACATTCAAGTTACCTGTACTTTACTTGAGTGTTTTGATTTTATGCAGCTCTATACTGCTACTTTACTACATCTCAGAGGTGAATACTGTATTTTTTTACTCCAATAAATTCATCTGACAACTTTCGTTACCTTTTAAAATACAGTTTTATCCATTTCTGTCCAGATGTTGAATATTTGTGATAAACTGAAGGATGAAGTGTTCCTTTATGTGTTGAGAAAAATCTCCTGCTTCTTAAGTGAAACAAACTCTTAAAAAACCCTCCTGGCTCAGTTGGACAATGCATCGCCATAAAGCTGAAAACAAGGCTGTTTGTCTGACACTATGAAAAAACTTTAGACATATGTGGTTCTCACAGGACGGCCACGCTACAAACATATGATCTTAGAGACCATGATGCATTGCTGTAGATGAAACTACCCGACAGTATATAAAGGAGTGAAAATGAGCGCAACCAGTAAAATACAACATACACATTAATACAGCAGTAATATGGATACAACATATACATGAAACACAATAAAATACAGTGAAACTCACTGACAGGGAACATTTTACTGCACTTTGAATACTTTTACTTTTCATACTTGAAGTACTTCTTAACGATAATACATACTTTTAGTTAAGTATGGTTTTTAATGCAGCACTTTGACTTGGTGTGAAGAATTTTCATGGTGTTGTAGTTGTACTTTTACTAAAGTAAAGGATCTGAAAACGTCCTCCACCTCCTATCATGACCCTTTCCACTCCATGTCCATGTTTCCACAGACATCTTCCTGCCGTTGTCATCATTAAGGCTGCTGATACCTCCTCTGCGGCTGCTCTCTGCAGCCATGTGGCAGGTGGCTCAGCGGAGAGAGGTCCTTGATTATGAAAAGCTTGATGAGTTTGTGACGCTGGTGACGGCAATAGTTCCAGACCTGCTCAGCCCAAAGCAGCGAGGCAAACTGCTTCTTCGACTGAGAGCGAAAGTGAGTCAGTGGCATTTGTATGAGATCAAGTAACAATAGTACAGTAATATGTCTGATCTAAGGGACACTTTTCTCATCTGTCTACATGTTTCTCTTCAGATTCTTCTTGAGTTGTGCAGAAATGAGGAAACAGCCAACATTCTGTGCCTACAGCCTCACCTTGAACGAATCCGCCCCCCAGGACACACAGGAGTAAGTGACATCAGTGTGCCTCATTCCAGTTCCCCAAAACAGGCGACAACATGTCAGTCCTTTCTGTCATTGTCACATGGGGCACAGGGGCCTTAGTCATGTAATTACGGGTCAGATGGAGCATTGATTAAGAGCCTCTATAGTGTGTGGAGATAACGCTGGTAATGTCTTTCAGAGTGGAGATGCAGAGGTGGATGCAGAGGAGGCCATTTTTGTGGAGCTCATCCAAACACTACTGAAAGATCCAGCAGAGAGGGAGCATTTTTACCAGGCAAGGCATCTTCACCTGTAATTCAACTGGCATCATAAAGAGAATCTTTTTGTGCAATTGTTTTTTATGTCCTGTTACAGTTGTATTTTTGAGCAACCGTTATCTTTGTTCTTCCCAGGAGGTTTTTCCAACAGAGTATGGTCCCAGCTACGACACAGACATGCAGCTCCTTGTGTGGGAGTTTCTGTCTAAACTGGAGAAACTCCTGCCGGTACCAGACCTCAGTCAGGTACTTACATGCACTGTGTTTAAGAATGCCCCAACCTTTCTATGTCTGCTTTTGTGTGTGGAATAACAGTTATAATATTAAAGGAACAGTATGTGAGATTTAGGGGGATTTAGTGGCACCTAGTGGTGAGGATTGCAGATTGCAACCAGCTGAATCTTCTCCTGGTTAGAATTCCTTCAGTGTTCATTGTTGAGGAGGTTTTTACCAGGAGCCAAATTATCCACAGAGGTCTCTTCCTCTCCAAAACAAACAGACCCAGTGATTTAAACCAGTAAAAACACTGAATGAAGCAGTTTCACTTTAAAAATGGATGTTTTTCTGAAGCTCTTGTGACGGAGGGGCTTCTGAATAAGATGGCCAACAATAAAACGTGAATGGCCCTATATGGAGCCAGTGTTTGGGTTGCGTGTTGTGGGCTACTGTAGAAACATGGCGGTGCAACATGGGGATCTCTGTAGATGAGGACCTGCTCCCTATGTAGATAAAAACAGCTCATTCCTCTGAGGTAATGAAAACAAAATGATTATTATTTTAAGGTGATTATACACCAAAGAAAACACACTTTTTATATATTGCCCTAAATCCTCCTCACTGGACCTTTACCATGTCAATTTTTTTTTTTTTTTTTTTTTTTTTACAAAATTAAGAATATTTTATGGTTTATGAGCATTGTGTTTCCCAAGTCTTTTTTTAAATATATTTGAAGTTAGTACAAAAAGTTTTGTATTAGTACAAAACAAAATACTATTGATAACATAGTGTACTTTATGTTGTCAAGTGTATATAAAAAATAATACCAGCGAATGTATCGTTATGAATATCTGTATCTACCTAAAAATCCAGTATTGTAGTCCAGTACTTTTAGATCATGATCTTTTCCAGCAGTTGTAGTAGCTGCAGTTTTGTTAGAGTCATGGTGGATGAAGTGTTCTGTGTCTGAGTGTTAAAGTTTTGTCCCATGTCACTCTGAGCAGACTATATGATGGCCTCATTCTTGCTGACATGTTTTCTTCCATCCATAAACAGACGGTGTCATGGCTGACCTCTGCCCCCTCTGTGCTCAAGGACTGCTTACAAGCACTTTCCACCCCTGACGACCTGAGGTCTCTCCTGCAGCACCATAAATGCCTTGAGCACCTTGGAGCACAAGGTAAACCAGATGCATCGGCCATGTCTCCCCCCTTTCTGTCACCCACATTAATCCAGTAATGTATTATAGAACCCACTGTGCACACGGGGGCTTTGTGCAGCCTTGGCCGGAGGTATTGTGTTTTCAGGTTGTCCTGTTTTATATCCATGTATCCCTCATACATACATTGTACATCTGCCATACATCAATATTTAAAGTATTGTCTACTTTATTGGCTCCATGTGAGCCGGAAACTGTAACTCCAACTTAACTGGTTTACCAAGGCGAGGTGGTAGTTCTAGTTTTACATGTTTAGCTAATAAGGTGCAAGGCTGTCAACAAGTCATGGTGGTGACAATTTAATGTCAAAGAACAATATTAATATTTTGTTACTGTCCAGATCATATGGGATTGATATTTGCCAAATATGTCCCTGCAGACTATAACATCTCAGCGGTGTCTGTCACCTCTCTACTATGTACTGCGTTTTATCTTTTGCTGCTTATATTTAATATGTAACTGCAATCAAATAAGAACTGTTACATGTAAATAATGTCCAGGAAATAATATTTAGGGTCTAGTTAAGGTGTCTCCAAGAGCAGGGTCCACACACACACAATTAAAAAACATAGCTTTTTCTGTTTTGGCTGTCTGTCCACAGTACGCTGGCATTTTTTCACCTAAATTTGTAGCCTTTCCGAAAAAACGTTCCCCAGAGTGGATTAATCTTAAAATGTACCTCATGTTTTTGTGTGGACGGTTAAAACCTGAGCTCAAGGAAAATGTTGGTATAAGCTGCCCACATGAGCCGTTGTTATTGTGAAGGTGTGAAAAAGACGTCCCACTGGTGCTCTTCAGTTTAGAATTGTTGTAGAAATCTGAGGCATTTGAGGCATTAAGGATGTAAACACTGTAATGGCTGAAACGTGTAGGCATGTTTTCAACTGCTACTGTGACTAAATAGCCATGAGATATTAAAGGCTTTCTAAATAAATTAACCTCTTGAGTGCCTCAGCTTTCTTCAGAAATTCTGTATTAATGTTTATTTTGTCAGAACATTTTGCAATCATGAAACAGTGATTCAGTAATAGTGCATCTCAGCGTAGCAGCGTAGAAAACACTGCTAGTACTTCGCAAATAAATCATTATGTTACACTCATTCAGTTGTGACACCAGAAATAGAAAAAAAATAAATGAAAACAACCAGGGTAGGAGATAATTGAGCAGGATACTGAACAGATTTAATCAGATGAGATTCAGTAGATCATCAGACTGTCTGACCCACTGTTGACCTGAGGCTTGCTGAGACACTGACGGCCAAAACACGACAGATAGACGGATCTTCATAAGCAATGACTGGTGTGGACACGTTCTAGCCAGCTTATTGTGGTCATATAAGAGATGTAGATGTAAAGGCCAGATATCACAGCCTCAGCTGTGTTATAAAAGGGACAGATAAAAGGGACTTTTGTACAACAACAAAAAGTTCCCCATATTTGAGGAAAACATTAAACGACTACTGATGTATTCTGTTTTGCACAGGTACCACTGTGGAAATGTCCACCCAGGTCTTCGCCTGCTCCGAGTGTCCGTTCTTCCACATGCAGGAGTCCTACCTGCTGCAGCACATTGAGCACAGCCACCCTGAGCAGTACAGCAAACTCCAGAAGTCTGCAGAGACAAGTGAAGTCCCCAAGAAGAAGGCCCAGCGTCCCACGTTTCCGAAGCCTTTCCCCATCCACGACAGGCCCGACCCTCACATGTGCCAGGAGTGCGGCAAAACTTTCACACGTGCCTCAGACTTGACTCGTCACAGACGGACACACACAGGTGAGCGCCCGTACACCTGCGAGGAATGTAAGAAGGGTTTCAGGAACTCTTGGGATCTGACCAGACATCAGCGCATTCACACTGGAGAACGACCCTTCCTCTGTTCTGAGTGTGGGAAACGGTTCACACAGATGGGGTTGCTCAAGCTGCATTTCGAACGGACCGCCTGCGGACAGACTTGCAACCCTCCCCTTGACCTAACGACAGAGGTCGTGGTAGCAGAGGAGACATCAGAGAAAGGAGGCGGACAGTACAAATGCCAAAAATGCGGTGAGAGCTTCAGCAGCATCCTGGAGCGGCTGAAGCACAGGCAGAGGCATGTGGTGAGGCGACAGTACAAATGCCCCCTATGTGAGAAGATATACAGCCGAGCGTCTGATCTCAAGAGGCACCAAATGAAACACACCGGTGAGCGGCCATTTGCCTGCGAGTGTGGGAAAAGCTTCACGCATGTGTGGCTTCTGAATAAGCACCAGCAGATCCACACCAGGGAGCGTCCATACCCCTGCACAGAGTGTGGGAAGAGCTTCACACAGCTCCAGATCCTTAACAGGCACCTGCTGACTCACAACGGCCAGCGGCCTTTCCAGTGCTCCTACTGTGAGAAGAGCTTCACCCAGCTGGCCAGCCTTACACGCCATGAAAGAACCCACACAGGTGAGAGGCCGTACGTTTGCACCACCTGCGAGAAGACGTTCCTCACACATGGAGAGCTGGTGCGGCATCAGCGCAGCCACAGTAACTTCAGGCCGTTCAGTTGTCCACAGTGTCCGAAGAGCTTTAAAACCAAGCGGGCTCAGAGTGAACACCTCAACACACACACGGGAGAGCGTCCGTTTGCATGCTCCCGTTGTGGGAAGAGGTTCGCCAAGTCGACCTCGCTGGTCCGACATAACCTGACTCACACGGGCGAACGGCCCCACCAGTGTTCCCAGTGCGGGAAGACCTTCCTCACCTCTGGCGAGCTCCTTCTCCACAAACGGATTCACACAGGAGAGAGGCCTTATCCCTGCACCTACTGCGAGAGGAGGTTCAGATGCTCATCTGACCTCAACATGCACATCCGAACACACACCGGCGAGAAGCCACACAGCTGTCTGTTCTGTAAGAAGAGTTTCTCCACGTCTACGAGGCTAAAGAGACACGTGCGCACACACATGGAGAAGGGTATTGTGGAATCATTTAGTCTTTGAGCTGTCAGGAGCTAATGATGCAGAAGATACTGCGTTGTCATTGAAAATAAAAACTGTCTTTGAATAGTTTAATTTTTATTTTTTATTGTGATGACGATTTACTGCAAAAGAAACAATTTTTGAAAAAGTATGGATGTTTTGTGAACACAAGTTTTTTGATGGTTGTTGGCTGTTGATGGACTCAAACAGATGAATCCATCAGATTACATTAATTAGCAGATGCTTATGCTCACAGTGACTCACAATACGTGTATTCAACCTTCTTAGGAAAAGAAGGTGTCATCAAGAATTAAAGGAGCATTCCTCCTAAATAAAGTAACATAGGTCTGTGAGTTACTAAGGTGCCCAAATCAAAGGGATTATTTTGGCACTTTATGGCCTCCTCAAGAGTTAAAGTTATACTGTAATTGAGTGATGAAATGAAGAAGAAACACAGAGACAAATCACAAATAAAGCCTGTGTCTTTGTGTGCTTTCCTTTGTGTGGAGTTGTGTCGGGACACCTTATATTACATCTTAGCCCTGACATGTTTGTCTGGCCCCGGGGAGAGTGACAGAATTCGACTCACTTTGAAATGATTCAAAATTAGCAAACATAAAATGTGAAAGGTCCTGCACATTAGAGGAGTCTGAAAACAGGAGCAGCCTTATGGCAATCAGTTGACCTGAATTAATATTTTAGACTCTTTAAGTTTCCTATAAAACAATTCAGGAATGAGGTTCTAGTTAATACAAGTTAATTCACTCTATATCTCTCTGTGCTTTAAATGTTAAAAGTTGGGGAGGAGTGGTTGTAGATAACATGACATAGAGACCTTGCAAAAGGTAAATGATCAAAGTGATGAGGTGGAGAATGCGGGAACGGTGATAAAGCTAAGCAAAGAGCAGAGAAAAATGGACATTAGGAGGGAGAAACAGGACTAGAAAAGAAGCCAGAACAAATGAAGATTCATGGAAGTGAAGGTGAAGCAGAGAATGAAGTCTGCAGGCGAGACAGAGATGAAGCGTTTGATGGCTTCCCAGCTATCCAAGGTGAGTTTTCCATCCTTGTCTCGTGTGATAATTAATAGCTTATTCTTTGCTTTAAACAATCATCTCTGTAGTGATGTGAATAACTTGTCATGTGGAAAATTAGAACAGCAGTGTCATTAATTGGCCAGGCTTTACATACTTCCTCCTCACTGTGTGACTGTTTACAGGTTTCTATGTATGTAGAATGATTAAAGGTTGTCTTTGGGGTGTTAACACTTAGGAAAACAATCAAAGGGAGGAGTTACAAGGGGAAGATGTCTGTGATTCACTCAAGACTGATGTAAAATGACAGAGCTTAGAGCTAAATAAGTCATGAAAAGAGTTACATCATATTTATGCTCGTATTTAAGACTCTTAATATGGCTGTCTCATCTGTGTGACGAAACAGGAATGATAGCCTATTTTGCTGTGCAGCACACAACTGCAGAAGGTCTAATTTGTCTCCATTCTTTCCTTTCCATAGCTTTTGATGTGTTGATGGTCGGCAAAATGTTTTACGTAAATAATCTTGGCTCTTTATTATACAAATACCTTTTGAAGAAAATTCCCGATCATGAATATACAGCCCTGTTACCACGTGGTTAACTATTTGGTTGGGTTTGAATACCAAAATTCCCTCCAAGTTTCCCGCCGGACCGCTTATCTGCAAGGACTTCCGGTCCCACCCACATTCTCGTGTCGCTTCCGGGTGGCCACACACGACTCATCCAGCGAGCCGTCGTTATCATAACGCTGTAAACAAAAGTTACTAAACGGTTTAGCTTCCGCGACACGTTCAACGAAAAGACATGCATATCAAAACAGGTAAGTTTGTACAACTTTGTGACATATCTGACGGAAATAGTTCACTTTGAGAGCGTATTTTGTTGTCCTGCCGACGGTGTTAGCATCTATGCTAGAGGTATCGATAGCAGCCTTTGAATGGACGGTTACGAAACTTTGACTTCGGCTAACATGCTAGCTAGCTGTTAATTCAACCATTTGGTAAAAAAAATAGAGCCATTTCGTGGACGACAGCAGTTGTTGAGACGTTGGTGAACTACATTGACCATGCCGCGACGGCAGATACTGTAAACCGTCGAGTTTTATTCGCCGCACCATGACGCTGCTAATTAAAGTTTGCTAACACCGGTGCTGGCTCGTAGCTTCGGCTGGCTCGTTAGCTGCCAGCACCGCACAGAAGAATCTCAGCGTGTTGTTTGATCCGAAGGGACGTTAATGAAGTAGTCAATTTACTCTTTAAGCCAGAAAATGGAGAGTCTGTTTGAGCTAGCTTCGGTCACGGTGTTTTAGACGGGCTCCCTGGATTGGTAACTAACGTTACCATACCAGGTTATTTGAAATGTGGCGGTTTGGATTGGGCACGCTACTCAGGCCGGGTGTATCCATTTCATAATCGCTTTGAGTGTTGCATCTAAATTTGTGGCCCCACAAGTTCTGTAACCCTACAGAGCACCTGTTGGGAGTTTCACAGTTGAGGACGTATTTTATTTTCAGTTGCCGTGCTTTTGAAAAACGACGAGGTGTAATCATGGATGGGTTTGTTTGTCTGTCTGTCTGTGCCATGTGGACAGAAAGGGGTTCAGCAAGGATAGGATTAGATTTACCTTTGTCATTTTATCTAGTAAAGCTACTAAAATAACAACAATTTAGCAGCTAACCAGAAATGAAAAAATCAAATGTACAGAATTTACCGAATAAAAATAGAATAAATAGAATGTGTATACACACAGTAGATGTACAATATAAGTAGTATGAACAGTATTTTTTTTTTTAAAAAAAATCGCTTGCTTGAACACCTTTGTTTTGCAGATGTTACATTTTCAGATCAGTCCACACACAGACCGAAACTGAAACACTTACAAAACAAATATTTATATCAATCAATACATCTTGTTTCAATCAATCATTACACATTGGACAGCAAAATATAAAATACAGCTGTCGGTATGGATCGATTCAACCTCAATCGGTGCTATGTGCCTGTGCCATTTGTTGACACATTGCATAGTTATAGTCTTTGCCATAAAAGACAAGACAGTATATCACAGTATGAGTTGTATTCTGTTCTCCAAAGATGGTTTTACCAGAGTGTGGCAGGGTTTGGTATCTCTACACTTGCACTTTCTATTTTTTTAGATGCCCTGGTGAAATTCTAAGACATATTTCGTCATTCATTTTTATTAAATTAATCATTAATTTGTACATGCCGTTGGTCTCTTCGATCCATGCTTTCAAATAGCGACACAAAGGTTGCATCTTTTATATATGGATATGGACTGATTGCTGATAGAAGAATTATGCAAAGGAGTTTCACAAGGGTGCATTAGAGATTTACAGTTATGCAAGTCATTTCTATCAGCTGTGAATAGATGTTTTCCTTTTGTTTAACACAGTTAATCTGTGTGAAACCAATGAAAATGCATTGAGATATTTGAAACTGAGGACCTCTGCTGTGCTACGAGAGCAAAGATTAAGATAGAGTAGATCCCTTCATCCTCATTAAGCATGTCTTAGTAATTGAGGATAAACTGCAATAGTGATATGAATATTCTAAGATACATGTACAGTAGAACATAGTAAGCAGTGCAGGTAAGTATAAAAACAAATGCAGGACATGTAAAAGTTGTGCTAATAGTAAATATTATATCCAGAACAAGAGCTGGAGGCATGATATGAATAGGTGTATACATTATAGAACTGGTATATACAGTATAGACAGTGGTATAAATACTTTATAGGACAGTATGTACAGTATGAACTGTAGTGTAAATGTATGCTTATGTGAGGGTGTGTATCGTGCAGTAGGTGAGTGAATAGGTACAGATAACCCTCCTGTAAACAGTAAGTTACCCTATCATTCCCTGTTGCGATGAGCTATTTACTGAATAACACACTGTTCCGAAACAACGGTGCGATCAGTAATGCTGAGGTGTACGTGATAGGTATAAGAAGCTGTGATAGGCTGCAGTCAGTGAGCTCCCTGAGACTTTCCAGCAAGTAGTTTTATTTAAACACTGATGTCACTTAAACAGTCTGGGGCTAACTGGTATTTACATCTTTGATAAATCAGATTGTGTTTGATCTGAACTGATCTGAGAGCCTCAGGAGTTTTCATGTTGCTTGTTTTGTCTGACTCAACACTTCAGACCCCTAACTTTTTAAATTTACAATGACAAGGCTGAGGGAAATTGTGCCAGTTTAACATTTAAAGGCTGGGACCAAACATTTTTGGGCATTTATGCTCGATAATAGAGGACTAATCATATAGATGGATAGCAGGGAAATGGCTCATCAGAATTGTTGGCCGTTGTCTCTCAGGTGAGTAATGAATTCATCAGCTAATTGTTTTAGCACTACAACAGTCCACACACTCACTGGACAATTGGGATTTGTGTTTTTTTTTTCCAGCAGCACACACACTCCATACAAGATGTTTGGCTCCAGCTGCTTGATCCTGTTAATTCAGTATGGGGTCATCTTGTTCATTTCTACACTACTTCATAAACAGGCAGCAATACAGGCAACTGTTGTTCTGAGTAAACTCTACTGGCTCAGTGAAGTCACATTAGAGTGTGTCACCCACCCCTGATGTTTGTTTATATGAAACAGCCAAAGTGCAAAGACCGTTTATGAAGCAGTGGCAAGTGAAGGATCCTGTGGTGTGAAACACCTGTTTGGACACATAGTGTGCTCAAGACTGAACTCAAAATTGTGATGTTCTCCAGAACTTGTTTGTGGCATGTGTGATATTTCGTGGTATGTTCAAGTAGGATGTGACAACAGTGGATATTACTGACATGTCAACATCTCTTTTAGGTACATGGGAAGCCAGCAACACCGTGTGTGAGTCCGATACCTTGTGTGACCCAGCAGTTCTTGTCGCAACCACCAACTCAGAGCCACACATTCGCAACCGTCGCCTTTCTCCCGGCTCAGGCAACTGTGGAGGTGGTGGTGGTGGCTGCATCTCCGGAAGTGACCAGCAGCCCCGTCAGCTTTCACCCGAGGGCGACCTAATCGCACCCGGCCACACGCACACCTTCAGCTTCCGCAGGGAAAAAGAACGCAAAGGCCAGCAGCACAAAGGCCGCAGCCTCCGCAGGGAAAGTCAGAAGGGGGTCGGCCGGATAAGCGAGCGGCCACAAAAGGTTAACCAAAAGGAGAGGTGGGTGGAGGACAGTCTGTCACTGCTCAAGCCCCCACCTGCCTTCCCAGTGCAGGACAGCCCAGCCAAGCTGCAGCCTGCTGTCAGCTACGCCTCCAAGGTGAAGGCGGGAGCAACAAGCGGCGGGCTGGAGGAGGACCGCCCCGCCATCGGTGTGCTGCTACAGAACCAGTGGGGTCTCAGTTTCATCAGTGAGGCGAGGCCGGCTACAGAGGGCTCCAGCCCTTGCCCTGCAGCCATTGCCCCCCCTCCTCAGCCCACAGACGCTGAACAGTCAGCAGACCTACAGTTCGAGACAGTTCTGACAGTCCAGCCTCCCGAAGAAACGCCTATTCCAGTCGCTACCTCCGTCACCCCCACCACACCCCAAGAGGTGGACGAGAGCAACGGGAAGCTGCTGCTTAGTTGTCGCCATCTAGTGGAGGCTTTGAACTATCACAGTAGAGGTAAGAGTTATGAGGAGCTTTGAGGACTGTGTCCTGCCAGATTTTTTTGTTCTTTTTTAATTGAAAATGATAATTTCGGTGCAATAATTCTAACAGTGACTCTGTTTTTGTTTCCTCAGAATGGAATGCTACCTGTAACAAACAGAAAAAAGGTATGTTTACTGTTTTTTTGAGCAAGACTGAAATAGTTATGAAATGTTGAACTGACTTCAGCTCCATAGATGTGTAAATACCCAAGGTTGTTGGGAGTGTCGAATCACTTTTTGACTCACTAGCCACAAGGACTGGTAGATGAAAAATCTATTGGTCAAGTTTTTTTTAACCATCCAAAATGATAATATTTGTCACATATACATTTGTCCCAGTATATTCCATTGAGATATTAAGGTCTTATGTTGAATACAAATGTAAAGAAGAGGCCAGAGCAAAATCTGAAGCAGATTATTTCACTACATTGAGCAACTCATCACCACAGCCACAGCATGTAAATAATCTTGTCTTTGGTGGTAAGCAGTGACGAGTTGTTTATGTTTGTGGCTTTTATTGTGAAAGGTAAAAATAGAAGGAATGTGCTGCTGATGACAGTGTGGGACTCAAGAGTTTTCCGCCTTGTTTCAGACTACAGAGCCTCCATATTGTTGTGTTCCACCTTCATAAATATTGGCAACACTCATAACCATCAGCTATTCACTAGCATGGCAGGAGCTAGCAGCAAAATGGTGGCAAGTGATAGTTAAGTGGATCAACCTTCTGTCCCTGCGGTGAACAGTGCTAGCGGCACTTGAGTGTGTTAGTGCGTCGAACTCCGACACTGACAGAAGACAAGTAGCGGAGCAGAACGCCTCTAAATGACACCAAAATGCAGTAGATGGTCTCAGTATAGATATCAATCAATTCAATCAATTTTATTTATAAAGCCCAATATCACAAATCACAATTTGCCTCACAGGGCTTTACAGTATACGACATCCCTCTGTCCTTTCGACCCTCACAGCGGATAAGGAAAAACTCCCCCAAAAAAAAACCCTTTAACGGGGGAAAAAATGCAATCAATCAATTACATTACGATTTTCGTACAAACATTGACCTGCCAGTGTGGCGGAGAGCCTTCTTAGATCTTCCCGCCAAACAGAAATCTACCTGCATTGGGCGCTTGGCGGGTACACAGCCGTCAATAATGACATCAAGCTCTGTCTTCTTAACATCAAATTACCAGTCACAACCAAACTTATCAGACACCAAAACAAACGTCAGCATTATAAGAACTACCTAAAAAGACAGAAACCATCTTTGGGAAAAAATTATTTGACATGTACATGTAGTTTTTAGCTTGACCCATGTCCCATCTGCTAACTTAGAGGGGTGGGGTGTATGACCTATACTGCAGCCAGCCACCAGGGGGTGGTTCAGATGTTTTGGCTTCAGTTTTGTGGACCTGTCATTACACGGTTCTTTTCTTCCAATTTCTCCCTTTGACACTTGGTTTTTTTTCTGTTTTGCAGTTCCAAAAAAGGTCGTCTGGTACAAGGACGCCCAGGAGCACCCAGCCTAGCAGTGTGAGAAACCCAAAGGATATATAAACATATATACAACACACACCTACATGCACATTGAAACACGTAAAGATGGACAAATTTATGAGTCCCATTCACACACACTGCACTCAGGATGATGTCTTCACGCAAAGCCACACTGAGACACTTTGGACTAACTCCTTTGAGATCTTACAGCAATGGACTTTTTTAACGCCTTACAGAAAGCCTGCCTTAATTAATCAGACCTGTTTTCATCGCCTCTCATTACCATTTTTAGCTTGTATGTGTAGAGCTGGTCTTTTTTAAAGGAAACAATCTCTGAGGAGCTGTAATTTAATTTCCCCTCCTTTTGAAAGCTGCAGTTTTATCACTTAGTCCTCTGTAAAGCGAGTGGTCAATCAAGCACTTTGTTAAATCTGTTGTGACCAATCTCCGTGTGCGAGAAACCCTCACCAGAGTGATTTATTTCCCCCCTTTTCAATTAAAACCAGAAGAATGTCTTGTACCTGCTTGAGTTATGGTTAATGTATGCAGAGGACTTGTGTATCCGTGTCTTCAGTTTACAGAGGGGTGTAGTCAAAGGCACAGTAGAGTTCACCCTTTATCCCTGTCGGATCTTAATGCTGTGTCCGTTTTTCTTTTTTGTTTTTATTTGGTTCCCTAATCGGGCGAATGTTACTCATGAATCCATAAGGGATCTCACCATGTTCAGTATGTTGATTTTTGAAAAGAAAATTTATTGAATAAAAAAAAATTACACTGGAGAAAGAGGAGGAATGTAAGTGAACAGTATTGCTTAATAAAAATGAATAAACTTGACAAGTTCCATTTTAGTCTTTTTTATTTAAAGTGGTATCCCTGACAATTACAAGTCGGAGACCTGCATGGGTTTGATTTTTAAGCCCCACCCCTCACCAGCTGCACATATGACCAACTAGTTCCACGACCCTACCCACTGACCCAAGAGCCGCATCGTGAACCTAAACCGCATATCCTATAATAACCATAAATGACTGATAGGCATGTTTAAGGGATCTTTTGGGACGTTTCACTCATGTAAAAGAAGATAAAATAATCCAGGAAGTACAATTTTAATGATTTTTTTTGCTTATTGTCAGAATTTTAAGCTGCCCAACTCCAGGCAACAAGCCTGGTGGTATCACACCTAAAAGAAACATGTCATATTCCAGCTGGTGCAGAAGACAGTCGACACACAAGGTCAGCAGTGAGAGGATAAAAACTTGAAAACACATTTAATTTTAATATATTTATTACCCAGCACCTGTGCTTTGACCGGCATGTTCTTTTTTTCACCCATTAACAAAAGTAAGACAAATACCACCCTCAAATCACCTTTTTGGCTGGTAGTCAACCCGAAGCAGGACTCTGTTACAAGTGCATTAGAACCGACGTGTGGTTGAACAAACTGAACATTTTTAACACCAAATAATTGTACAAGAGCTGCAAATCCTGCACCATATGGGGTTTCAATGACGTACAGAAAAAAACAGTCAACTAGAAGTGTCAAAGCCAGACTGTAAATCTGACATCTTCGCTCAGCCTTGTTTCAGGCGAAACAGGGAACGATGGTGCTGGAAGTGACCAAATGTGTTCCTTGTCAGCAGGGAGCCAGGCAACACTTTTCTCACCACTACACCACTTCTACTGAGCAGAATAAATTGTGTTAGAGTGAGCGGCGGTCCTGAAAGATTTGTGGGTAGCACAGTTCTCCCAAATTTGTAAATGTAACTGGACAAGAAATATTCTCAGAACAAAATCTGGCTCTCTATTAAGCAAAATGCCTAATTTCCAAAGAGTTGCTTCAGTGGAGTTGTCGTAACAGACCCGCTGCATCAACATTATGTAGCACCAAGATGTTGTTCTTTTAGTCTCTCCACGTCACCTCCACTTCATCTGTTCTGTACCTGGGACAAGAGAAATGTTAATGGTCTACATGAACAGATAACAAAGAATGACAGCACAGAAAGGTGGCAATACTAAATCTATTAATTTCCTACATTTTGGGAGTGCCCAGATCCAGGTTTTACAACTTTCCTGTTTACCAATTTGTTAGATCATTAAATCACAAGCAACCAGATTGGATAAACATCATTTCCCACAAAACAAATGAGAACAGCAGAGTGTACAGATTCAAAAACAACCAGTAACAGCGAGTCTACCTTTGTGTAATCCATGAGTCTTCCAGCTCCGTCACCTGACCGGACCTAAACATCTCCCAGCCGGCTTGAGCAATCATTGCTCCGTTGTCTATGCAGAATCTGTTGTACAAAGTGAACACTGTTATCTGGACTGAACCTGGAACACTATGTTCTCAAACACTGAAATCTCAGACTATTTTAGGAACTTAGTAGTAAGGGCATGTGATGGAAAGAAATGACAACAGCTCTTTCCACATACATATATTCATACAACAGTTTTGATACGGGTGACCCAAATGTTAATATTTCTTAAAGGGTCATACTAGTGTTTTTGCATGTTCAGTCCATATACTAGCACTCACATCCACCTCACATTCCTGCTAACTGTTTTACAAAGTATGCCATTATATTTTTGGCTGTATTTGAAACTACATTACCATCCAACAACACTCTATCATTGACAGTGTGTTTATTATAATGACTTTCTCAATTTAAAGTACTTGGATGAAATATTTAATTGAAATGAATGAAAACAGCACCTGAGGGGGAAAAAGCAGCACAAGCACAGTCTAAAATGGCACAGACTGAAAAATGATTAGCAGTATGTGTGGTTTGTAATTAATAGAATTAAATGCAAAAGCAACAGTGCGGTCCTGTTTAACATTTGGCATGATTATCTCTCATGATGATGACATGTTTGCACCTAGAATGTTTCTTGTTAGACTGAAAAGACCTCTAAAACAGCAGATACTCCATCATGGGACACCCACAACATTGGATGATGAGATGGCTGGAGGCATCCTGAGTTTGTGTTTTGAAACAGGGTTCTGTGCAACACCAGTTACAGTGTATGCATACAAAGATAAGAAGTGTCAGTCCAGGGGCATCCAACTAATTGTCTACAGGTGTGAATCTGAAGCCAACTATTGTCATTTAAATATAAATAAAAGTAAGTGTAGAGTGGCTGGATTACCTTTCATCTGTAGCAAACAGCTTGGCTCCTCTCTCCTTACACATCACTCCCATCATCTCCTGTAGACGCAAGTTACCTGCAGAGGAAACAAGAGGTCATACAGGTCGAATCATCTGGTGAATAAAGGAATGAAAAGTCATAGTATAGTATGTTACAAAAAGTTTTAGTATATTATGTCAAATAAAATGTCATAAAAAGTCATAGTATAGTATGTTAGAAAAAGTCATAGTATATTATGTCATGAAAATGTCATTAAAAAGTCATAGTATAGTATGTTAAAAAAAAAGTCATAGTATATTATGTCAAATAAAATGCCATAAAAAGTCAGTATAGTATGTTAAAAAAAGTCAGTATATTATGTCATAAAAATGTCATAAAGTCATAGTATAGTATGTTATAAAAAGTCATAGTATAGTATGTTATACAAAGTCAGTATAGCGTGTTATAAGTCATAGTATAGTATGTCAAAACAATGTCGTAAAAAGTCATAGTATGGTATGTTATATAAAGTCATAGTATAGTATGTCATAGAAATGTCATAAAGTCATAGTATAGTATGTCATAAAAAGTCATAGTATAGTATGTTACAAAAAGTTTTAGTATATTATGTCATGAAAATGTCATTAAAAAGTCATAGTATAGATGTTAAAAAAAGGTCATAGTATATTATGTCAAATAAAATGTCATAAAAAGTCATAGTATAGTATGTTAAAAAAAGTCATAGTATATTATGTCATGAAAATGTCATTAAAAAGTCATAGTATAGATGTTAAAAAAAGGTCATAGTATATTATGTCAAATAAAATGTCATAAAAAGTCAGTATAGTATGTTAAAAAAAAGTCAGTATATTATGTCATAAAAATGTCATAAAGTCATAGTATAGTATGTTATAAAAAGTCATAGTATAGTATGTTATACAAAGTCAGTATAGCGTGTTATAAGTCATAGTATAGTATGTCAAAAAAATGTCGTAAAAAAGTCATAGTATGGTATGTTATATAAAGTCATAGTATAGTATGTCATAGAAATGTCAAAGTCATAGTATAGTATGTTATAAAAAGTCATAGTATAGTATGTCATAAAAGTCATAGTACAGTATGTCAACAAAATGTCATAAAAAGTCATAGTAAAGTATATTATAAAAAGTCATAGTACAGTATGTCAACAAAATGTCATAGTAAAGTATGTTATAAAAAATCATAGTATGTCAACAAAATGTCATAAAAAGTCATAGTAAAGTATGTTATAAAAAGTCATAGTATGTCAACAAAATGTCATAAAAGATCATAGTAAAGTATGCTATAAAAAGTCATAGTATGTCAACAAAATGTCATAAAAGGTCATAGTAAAGTATGCTATAAAAAGTCATAGTACACTATGCCAACAAAATGTCATAAAAAGTCATAGTAAAGTATGTTATAAAAAGTCATAGTATGTCAACAAAATGTCATAAAAGGTCATAGTAAAGTATGTTATAAAAAGTCATAGTACACTATGTCAACAAAATGTCATAAAAAGTCATAGTAAAGTATGCTATAAAAAGTCATAGTATGTCAACAAAATGTCATAAAAAGTCATAGTAAAGTATGTTATAAAAAGTCATAGTATGGTATGTCAACAAAATGTCATAAAAAGTCATAGTATAGTTTGTTATAAAAAGTCATAGTAAAGTATGTCATAAAGTCATAAAAAAAAACAATAAAAAGTCATGGAATAGTATGTCATAAAAAAAGGTAATAAAAAGTCATAGTATAGTATGCCATAAAATATAGTAGTGAATTATAGTAGGGAAAGAGTTTGTTCAGTATTTATGCATGATCTTTATATTTATAATAAAAATACCTAACCAAAGGTGCCAGTGGGCAAAATGTTACCTTAGTCCCTGGCAAAAAGATTGTATCTGTCTTTGACATTTAAATGTATCGTTATGCATTTGCTTTTTTTTCCCACTGTACCAAACTTGTACCAAACCGTGAGTCTTAAGCAGGTCTGAACTGTGACTTTTGGCAATGTTACACACCTACTGCATGGACATTTTCTATGGTTTTCCACTTACAAAGACAGGAAGAATCTTTTGTGTTGTTGCTACTCTGCTAACGTGACAAATTCAGGAGAGAAAATATTTGTGTTCTTGTGTTAAGTAACTTTTCCACAGAACAAAAATGGGTAACCTGTCAAAATTAAGCAACTTTAGACTCACAATGTGATTTCAATGCATTTCACAACTGTTGTAATACTGTACAATACAATAGTGTACATACTGTCTGACTCCTATTGTATGCTTGTCCCTTTTTGAATGATGAACTTGGCAACTCTACAAAGAAAACCTGACTCTTTCACACTTCATACTGATTTTGAAGTTACAGTGACATTGTAGTATCAGAGCTGCTGGAAATGTCTTGACATTTGGGCACTGGATGATGAAAACTACACCAAACAATACGACCCAGAGGCACAAAGGACATCACAGAGATTTTTAAACAGGGTTCAAATATTTCAGATTCCATTTTTTTTCCTTGAGGCATCTATGTCTGATGTACTTACAGCCAACGCCCCCCACGATAAGGACCTCTTGGGAGCCGCAGTGAGCCATGGCCCTCTCTGTGATCTCCACCAGCATGGAAAACACAGTCTCCTGTGGGAGGGAGGTTTAATGTTGGACAACAATCTATAAATGGTTCTGCAGAGCTTATCAACTAACTGACATACACAGATCCACCACATGGGGCAGCACTGTGATAACAGAGCAATAATGATGGCTCTTAGTACCTGCAGGGAGAAACACAGGTCCTCTGCTGAACACTGACCAGAGCCCAGCATCTTATGTGCAACTTCCTATGGAAGAAAGACAAAAAGAAGAAACAGTTAGAAGCATGAAATAAAAGAATGATGAAGTAGTAGGCATCAAACTGTAACAGAGTATCAGCTCAAGGATTTGCCTAATTAACATCTACACCAGGGATTCTCAACTTGTTTTGCCCAGGAGCAACTTTTGCAAAATGACAAGAGGCACAGGGCAAGTTAATAAACAAAGATTAATAATTAATATATCCATATTAAGCCTCTGTCAAGGGGTCGGGACGTCTCTTCTCCTGGCACTTTTTACACCTCTGCACCCGCGACAACTGTGGCCACAGGCATTACGTTTTCAGGTTGTCCATCTGTCCCATTCTTGTAAATGCAATATCTCAAAAAGGCCTTAAGAGGATTCCCTCAAATTTGGCACAAACGTCCACTTGGACTCAAGGATGACTGATTCGATTTTGGTGGTCAGAAGTCACCATGATCTTGTATCAGTCTCATTCTTGTGAACATGATATCTCAAGAAGGCCATGAGAGAACTTCCTCACATGTGGCCTAAACCTCCACTTGGACTCAAGGATAAACTTATTGGTTTTGGTGGTCAAAAGGTCTAAGGTCAAGGTCACTGTGACCTCACAAAACATTTGGCTTTAACTCAAGAATTCATACGTTAATTGTGAACATTTCACACAAATGTCTAATATGTTAAAATGATGGTGATGACACTTAATATCCAAAAGGTCAACTTTACTGTAGTCTCGCTCACCAGACCTTTCTCAAGAAAAGAAAGGTCTGGCTGGGCCGACTCTCACTTTAAGATTGGAGAAAAAAACGCCCCGGCTGCTTGTATTTCTTTCAACCAATCACAATCGTTCTGGGCGGTGCCACAGCCACGGTGTGCTTGCAAAAATATTGCTGGGGGAAACAGGTTTTGGTGTAACACACCCAAAAAAATATCGCCTACAGGACGCGAACCATGGCAGAAAAATGGCTACATCCCCCCAAGATCAAACACCGTAAAAGTTAGTAAAGGACATGTTGAAAACTGCAACCGGAGGTGGTAGGGCGGGACTTCAGCGGGTGGCTTGTTCCGCCCAATGAGAGGCTGATCTATGCAGCGAACTTCCGCCCACTGAGACTAACTTTACTGTGACATAATAATGTTCTGCAAAAACACTTTTCTAGCCATTATTCAAAGTCAAAACTCAGGAACTGAATGGAAGACATTTGGTCAGATACTGAATTGATGACACTAATCTTGGGTGTCCACCATGAAACTGTGCTGATTGTATAGCTCCTCTCTGCTGCCAGGGGGAAGATGTGTGTGATGCATCCACGTTTTAGAATATGTAGCTTCTTTCCATATTTGAAGCATTATCTTCTGTCACGGCTACATATGAGTCTGGACAGACATGAAGGTAAACTGTAACTGCGACTTGACTGGTTCGAAAAGCGTTTAATTTCAAAGTACAAAAAAAAAAGCCCAGTGCGAATTAATTTATTTTTATTGTAAAATAAAGAATGGTCAGCGGGCCACCTGGCACTCTGTTAGCCCCACAAGCCATTAGCCGAGTTAACACTGATCTACACCATGTCAAAAGACAACAGAGAAGATTCAATCAATATTCTCTTGATAGCATTTATTGTTGATAAATAGTTCAACAAACAAGCATACCACTCACCTCAATATAGGATAAAATCCCAGAAAATGAGACATCCATTCCTTTTACTGTATATGGCAGCTCCACATACTGACTCCCTCTAACAGCACAGACGAGAAGCAAAGTTAGTAGTGAATATTAGTAGTGTAAAAACAAACATGAAGCACACAACAGTGAAGCTGCTCAGTGGCTCTCACTCACTTTTTGGCCATCTGCTCTATGTTGTAACCTGGACTGGGGTCATTGGAAATCTGAGTGGAGAAAAAGTATTAAGACACACACCTATCACATACAGTAAAAGAAAAAAAGGCTGCTCTAACAAGACTAGAATGACACAGACCTTTATAACTCTAGCAAACCTGTCCAGACAGTTGCCAACTGCGATGTCGATGGTCTCTCCAAATATTCTGTATCGCCGCTCCGAGTATGCAATAACCTGCACGAATAGAAGTTAGATTGGTACCTAATGAACATAAAACTCAGTGTAGGTCAAAGCTCCACTAAAATGTTTTACTGACAGCTGATCATCAGGAAGTCCAACAGACTAGCAGTGGGAGCGAGGCCCACATCCTGAAACCAACCTGTGTGTTCCCTCCACTGACATACAGCACAGTAGGGTTGTTGGCTTGCGTGATGAGTCGACCCATCTCAATGTGTCCGATACAGTGATTGACACCAAGAAGCGGCTTCCCCCAAAGCTGTGCGACCGTACGAGCCACCAGAGCCACCGTCACCAAGGGGGCACCCATACCAGGGCCTGACAGAGAAGAAAGAAGAACAAAGTAGGGAGGTTTTGGTCATGTTGGAGTGATAAAAGACATTATATCCTTGTTTGAGAGAAAACATCACATAAGTCTGTCAGTCTGATGAAGCCTTGTGGACACTGATGAACAAAGGATGTTTTATGGATAATCATAACTACTACACTGCGCCACTGTCATTTAAAGCTCAGGTAGGCAGATTTTCTTGGCATAAATGGGCAAAAAATCCATATTAACCCAATGGGCCCTAGGCCTTTTTTGGGGTATTTTTCCTGCCTTTACTTTTAAGCTCTGCATTCGCGAGTAATCCATCCAACAGTAATGTGTGTGCAAAGCTGTATGAAAGCTCTGTTACACATAATTTTAGTGTAACTTTATCATTTTTTTTTCGCTTTGAAAACATTGGACTACTGACAAGTGCTTGATCTTGTTGGAAAGCTACGGTTCCGCTGTTTCACTTGATATGCGTGGCTTCTTGCTATGATGCATGGTCACGGAGAAAAACCATAGAGAAGAACAGGTGTGAATTTGGACGCACTATGCATCGTTCAGGCCCATAGGGTTAAGATTTCAGCATACTGTAATTCAATTGACCTGGGGGAAAACTAGACTCCTGCACCTCCTCTTGGCTCTGTCTTCAGACTTTAGAAAATCTAGCCCATGACAGGGCTTGTCACAGCCAAGTCTGGGGCCCGATGTATAAAAACTTTTGGTGTAAGTATTCTAACTCAAGATGTTACGTTACCTTTGGTATATGCCACACAGTCGATGTCAGCAGGCTTCAGCCCTGCTTGCTCCAGCGCCTCCTTCAGGACAGTCAGTATGACAGCACGGTGGTGCCTGGCGGTGTCGCTCGGCATGAACCCTGATGGATAAAATTACATGTTGTTAGCTTCACATGCAAGATTGTTATGATGCCCGTCTGCATCTTCAACTCAAATTGAGGTGACGTAATCCCACTTGCCTTGACCAGGAGGCGTAATGTATGTCCGTCTAGGGTTGGAAAGCACTTCACCATCCCTGATGATTCCTATGCCGATCTTATTGGCACTGCCCTCAAATCCAATTATTACAGTCATGGCACCTAAAAAAATAACAAAACAAAACAAAAATTTAGGAAAGAGAAAAGCAATGTGCAGTAAAGACTAATGCATTCTGTCTTTGCATAGAAGCCAGAAAGCATACACCAGTAGCCACCTTGTTACACCAGTAAAGTATCTGTTTTAAAGTGTATTTCCCTAGAATTACTTTATCTTTCTTGGACGCTCATTTACTCGTGGTCAGAATAGTTCCCATAATATGAGATATTAAAGGGGTACTGCACCCATTTTACACATTATATTTGGTCTAATATTAGTAACTGCAATGTCCACTAGTCTAGGTCAACCAGCTTCAGAAACTGACGGGGGCAAAGGGCGAAATTGCCCCAGGAAGATAAAAAAATCATGATTGAGGGAGAAAAATTGCTTCCCAGATTTCAGAAAAAAAAAAATCCTACATACATTAATCCTACATTAAGCCATCATTTTATTTTCATTAAATTAATTGAATTTCCATTTCCTCCAACACACACTCACATAAACAGGGATTCATTTGAAAGCACTGCTCAAATCTCCTGCCTGTATGCAAATAACACAATGAGGGGGAGGCAAAGTGCTCTGCTGTTTTTTGTAACGTTATGTTGCAACCTCTCTGCTGCGTGAGCTCTGGGGAAAGCTAAGATGCTGAGCATACCGGGCAAAAGATTTTGGAGGTAAAACAGAGTGAACATGAAGTTATTTTTTTCACAATAGAGTTGTTTTAAGTTGTTAAGCTGTGTTATTTCTTATTTTTAACAGTGATAGATAGTTAATTTGCTACTTTTTGTTTTACAAAATCAGTGTTTACTTTTCCCTAATGCTTTGCCATTGATCTGTTAGCTCTCTGGTTATTATAAATGCTATTTTTTCTAATGCAGGACAAGGCACTTCAACATGGTGAATGTTCTGTGAGTACAGCTTGTGTTTAGGTCTTTACCATGCTCTTGTCCTGTGAGATAAAGATTTTATGCTGAATAACAATCTAAACTTTAAAAATGACATAGAAAACCACCTGAATGTCTGGGTCTGAAGTTATCAGAGGAAACATGGTCCTGTTTTCAGCAATATTAAATCACTAAATTTCTGGCTTTGAATAGAGATGTAACAGCGTCATTCTCCCTTCAAATCAATGTGTGATATGAGCAGGTAATATAATCTAAATATGGCGTACACCTTTACTGATACAATTGCTTTTAGGTGGGACTTTTCTTAGGTAGCTAAAATAAGTTGTGTTGCTGACCCCTCCACAGCAGTAGAATGCTTAGCCTCAATGTGGGCCTGCTTCTTCAAACTGGGGGCGTGCTGACTGACATCTAAGTTACTGTCTATGGATAAATACCTCACTACATACAAACCTCACTTCAAAAAATCTGAACTATCCCTTTAATAGTGTGCTCGCGAGCATGTGAACATTAAACTGTCACATTGTAAATGGTTCTTTTAAATTTAAAACAATGCGACATGTAACAGATACTGCATTGGCGTATACAGTAACCCTCCCGACACATATTTAACCTATGAAATGCCAGATTAAACGTAACATGCGTACATACTGTTCATATTTACGTTAGCTAACGTCTAACACAATAAAATACCCTGTATGGTTGTGTAGCTGCTAGCAGTGACACTATACTGTCTTCGTATGACTAAACGATATATTAACGCTGCAGTAAATAACACAAATTAATATACCTAGCTTTTTGCTTTCCTTCGCAGGTTTACATTAATCCAAATTAGTTCTAATTAAACTTTTAAACTACTAATTGTCTGTCACTCAGCTAACTTCTACAAATCAACTACTCCATTTGAAGCTGAAGGACCCAAACACAGGCAGCTGCAGAGATGGCCTGACCAAAAAGCTTTGTCTAAATCATGTTTTACTTCAGCAGCATGTTGGAATAATATAATATGTGTCATGTCAGTTATGTTTGTATATTTTTTGTCATTCAAAATGCGATAAAAATGTGTTTTTTATTTTATTTTTTTAATCAGGCATATGTTTAGACAGTCCCTGAGGAGAGCAAACACGTGGTCAGAAATCTTTGCCGTGCTTTGTGAGTGTTTGGGGGGGAGTGACTGAAGGAGCACTTGCGTGGTCTTTGCATCCTGTTTGTGAAAGTGCAAGTAAGATTATTTGCATATTTTTTAAGTGAAACTCGTAGCTGTTTGAAATGTATAGGCTTTATTTAAAAGGATTTGCATTTATAGATGCATCAAATAGGCTGTGTAGGAAGCTAATTAGCTGGCTGGTCATTATCCATTTATTCTCAGTGCAGGCCGTCTGCTGCTGCCTCTGTCCTCTTTGTCACAGAGGGGAAGCTAGCGTTAGCATAGCTTGCTATCAGACATGTTGTGTAACACGTAAAAGCGCCAAATTGCTTCTGGTGTAATAGAGATTTAATTTTGCAGCCAGAGGCTCGCAGCATCACAGTATGTTGTAGTAAGTGTGCTTGGCTCTTTAACAGCAGCGACTTGCATCAAAATAAACGTTCGGCGTGCTTCCTCTCGCTCACAAAATTTACTGAAGCCTTTAAAACGCTTTTATTGTCAGGCTGACCAGCACCATTTGTAAAAACAAATGCATAGATGTGAAAGGGAGGTGTTTTGTAGTATGAATATACTCTGAGCTGAATTTATATTTCTTACAAGAAGAGAGGCATCGTGGTTCAGCCAACATCCGGTAGTGTGATACGTGGTGCAAACATGCGTCAGTATGAGTGTTTGTGCACATTTGATTTTGTGTGTGTCTCCATAACAAAGTCTAACCTTCTGAGAGAACTGGCAAGTTTATCATTTAACTGCAAGACATTGGTCAGACTTAGAAGGGCTGCAACTAATGATTGTTTTCATCATCAAATAATCTGTTGATTAATTCCTAGATTAAACGATTAAATCGTTTGGCATTTAAAATGTTAGTAAATGGTGAAAAACGTCCATCCCAGTTTTTCAAATCCAAGGTGATGTCTTAAAATGTCGTTTTGTCAGTCCCAAACCCAAAGATATTCAGTTTGTTACGATTTAAGAAATCAGGATAATTCCATATGCGAGTCTGAAAACTGCATTTTTTGCATGAGCAATTATTAATACAATTAATCGATCATCAAAAATATTGGCGATTATTTTTCTGTCAGTCGACTAATTGAGTAGAGCAATCATTGCAGCTCATGGCTTTAGTAAACATTGGTTCCAACCCTTCGAGATGACGACTGAAAACCTCAAATATGTTGAATCGGAATAAATGCAGCTATTTTTCATTATCAGTTAATTTCTTGACTTTTTCCCTCAAACAGATGGTTAGCCTGTTAAAGGCTATTAAATTGTTTAAAAAAAAAAAAAAATTGCCCATAGCACATTCCCAGAACTAGAGGTGGTTGGGGTGGGAATCACCAGACGCCCCATGATACAATATTATCATGATAAGTCATGATACAATATTATTGCAACTTTAAACTTGTTGGGATATGCTGAGTATTGGGATAAGATATATTACAATTAATTGTGTTTATTACCTTTTTTTTTCCTTTTTTTCCAGTGGCAAATTATGTCTCCAAAGAAAAACTTTGTCAACATCAACAGTTCTATGAAATTGAGTAGTCTGTTCATCTCACTTCAGTCATTTCATTACAGCAAAGTGTATGTGGTTAACTGAAAAAGCAATTCATTAGATTATTCTAGTAGGCTACCAAAAGTTTAATTTGTATTATTAATAATATATAAAATAAAAAAATCGATACTTGGTGTCTTTGTATCGATGTGATATTGCCACACAAAAATAACGCAATACTGCGCTGTATCAATTTTTTTTTTTCCCACCACTACAAGGTGGCATCTTAAAATTGCTTGTTTTGTCTGACCACCTGTACAATGATATAAAACAAAAGCAGTTTTAGTCTTGTACGTTGTTGTAGCATTTGACACTCAGTGTCAGATGAACACGTCACTTAAATTGCTCTTCTGTTTTTCCAGCGGCGCGTGTGCTGTTGTGTGTGCGTGTCGTGTGTCTGCGAGGTGTGTTTGTACTCCGAGCGAGTTCAAGTATGAAGAGAGGCAAGAATGCAGAGGATGCAGCTGCAGATGGGGAGAATGACTCAGGCTCTGGTACTACAGCTTTCACTAATGCACAAACACATACTGATCTCTACACATTAAACAACTTTTAAATACATTTTCCTAACAAAAACATGTGCAGCCTACCACTTTTCATGACCCTATACATTTATTTCGCCTCACAGCCTCTGCAAAGAAAGCAAAGAAGCCTAAGGAACCAGAGGCCCCAGTATTGTACGATGATCCCCCCGACAAAATGACCAGCAAAGACGGACGTGACGCCAATATGAAGATCACCTCCTGGAACGTCGATGGCCTGAGGGCCTGGGTGAAAAAGAAGGGCCTGGATGTAAGTTTGCAGTAAACAAAAGCAAAGTATGCCAATATAAGTTCTGAGACTGGTTTTAAGGGTAAACACATGTGCTCTTCCTCACAGTGGGTGCGTGAGGAGGCTCCAGATATTTTGTGCCTGCAGGAAACAAAGTGTGCAGAGAAATCCCTTCCTGCTGAAATCACCTCGATGCCCGAGTACCCTCACAAGTACTGGGCCGGGTCAGATGAAAAGGAGGGTTACAGTGGTGTGGCCATGCTCTGCAAGACTGAGCCCCTCAAAGTCACCTATGGCATTGGTGAGTGGTGTCTTCTAATGATGTAATTTTAAAAATTTAACTCTGGGCCCAAAGCAGACCTAACCAAAGTTTGAACTACAGTGGTCGCTATAAAAGACAAAAATTCTAGTTTGTTTTCCGGACCAGAGGACAGAGTGGTATTTGCTGAATGAGCAGCGGCGCTAGCTAGTTCCCACCTGTCTCAGGCGGTACGCAGTGCAGAGCAGCCAAGGCTAGCTAATCAGAAGGCCAATTTGCGAATTCTAGGATAGTGAAGGAATGGCTTGCCTTACTCTGTTTCTGATTGGCTTATCCTAACATTCTAACCCTAACCCAGTCCACTCCTCTTGCTAAACCTAACCAATCCAATCAACGAAGGCAACAAGCACCAGCTAATCAGAGGGAGGGAAGGGCAGATCATTGCTTTGTCATTGTAGGACTTGCAGATTTACAACGAAGTGGAGACTAGAGGGTGGACATCGGCCGCTATGTTTCAGCATGTTGTTTTTACAAAATAAAACATTGAAATTTCACCCTCTCTAAATGGCAACACCTCTAAATGTGGTGCCAAAGCTCACCAAATCAGTGGAATGCTGGACTTGTATTTAACATCATTTTGAGTTTTTATTTTCCTAATATTAACTGCTCAGTCACTGGTTAAAGGGTTTCGAGCTATTGAAAGCAAAATTAACCAAAAATGAAATTTCTCGATCAAACAAATCAGTTATTACTTGTTAATTAGTGAGCTCTAGAGAGGCAGGTAGGCAGATTTTATCTTTAAACCAAGCCAGCTGTTACTGGTCTTTATGCTAAGATAAGCTAACCAGCTGCTAACAGTAGTGTCACATTTACTGTATAGATGATTCTCTGCACGAAAGTAAATGATATTTTTTACATATTGTTGTACACTGCGATCACGCCTTGCCGAGTTTTATGACTCTTCATTTTTAATGTGCTTGCAAACCTATAAAAACTATTTAACTGGACATGTCTTTGAATCCTGGTGAAGTAAGTGCATTTAGTTTACTAAACCTCTTCAACCAATGCTCTAGGTAAAGAAGAGCATGACAAGGAGGGCCGAGTCATCACTGCAGAGTTCCCCAACTTCTTCCTGGTGACCACCTATGTGCCAAACGCCGGCAGGGGCCTTGTGCGCCTAGATTACCGCAAAACCTGGGACGTGGACTTCCGGGCGTACCTGAGCGAGCTGGACATGCAGAAGCCCCTGGTGCTGTGCGGTGACCTGAACGTGGCACACCAGGAGATCGACCTGAAGAACCCCAAAGGGAACAAGAAAAGCGCAGGCTTCACCCCCGAGGAGCGCGAGGGCTTCAGCCAGCTGCTGGAGTCCGGTTTCACCGACAGCTTCCGCGAGCTGTACCCGGAGCAGACCAACGCCTACACCTTCTGGACCTACATGATGAACTCCCGCGCAAAGAACGTGGGCTGGAGGCTCGATTACTTTCTGCTGTCGTCCAGCCTGGTGCCAGGTCTGTGCGACAGCAAGATTCGCAACAAGGCCTTGGGAAGCGACCATTGCCCCATCACTCTGCACATAGCTGTGTAGGTCAATGTCTGAGCAGCCTAAACTGTTTCTGTAGTACTTCCGTTCCAACTTGGCAAATATGTATGCCAGTGTGTGTGTGTGTGTGTGTGTGTGTGTGTGTGTGTGTGTGTGTGTGTGTGTGTGTATGTGTGTTAGAGTGAGGCATTCCCTATTTGGGCTGAAACAAGTGCTGCCCAAACTCTATCTCTCAGTAGTCTCTGCTGTAACTTAGTTGTCTAGTACTTTTAACTTTTTCACATGAAATGTTGATAATACGACTCCACAGCAAAAGTCATAATGCCCATAAATCCTCTCCACACAATTGAAGTTTGTCAGTAATCCCGGTGATGTTCACCTGTCCTCAACTGTTCTGTAAAGATGCAACACTAAATACTCAAAGATGTCTAAGCTGATTTTCAACAATGACCCGTGACTGGCTGTGGAACTGCGCCACAGTGTGGCTCCTGTCTGTACTACTGCTGACCCGAGACGAGCCTCCATGCCACAGAGCCTGCAGTATGTTTTTGTTACTGTCCAAAACTTAACAGCTGCTGTTAAGAAAATGCAACTTGTTCTAGCACGAAAAAAAGTTTTAAGCCTCTTTTCCAAAGCA